AAGAACAGCAACAACTCAGAGGATATAAAATAACAGAATAAAGATAAGGAAAATCTGAGGTAACTATAATTAGAAATAATGAAGCTAAGAAACACTATGGCTAATTTAAAAATACAATGAAAGCCTTAATAGACAAACAGAAGCAATGAAGAAAATTAAAGAGCTCAAAAGCACAATTTCAGATAACACAAAAACAGAACAAAGTAGAGAAGACAGAATTAAAAAAAAATAATGTAAAAGGCCTTTGGGACAACTTAAAGAAAAATAATATCCACATCAACTTAAAAAGAAAGAATATCTGTGTTAGAAGAAGAGAAAGAGAAAATCAAAGAAAATTTATTTAAATAAATAATTGCTGAAAACCACTTAATTTGAGAAACCAGACATTGTGATCCAAGATACCCAAAGAGTTCAAAATAAAATAATACCAGACACACATATACCAAGACAGATACTAAGTTGCTGAGAAACAATGACAAGGATAGAATATTAAAAAGGCCAAAAGAAAAACGGGTAACTTATAAGATGCTCACTGGACTTTTCAGTAGAAACATTACAAGCACATGGGAACTGGAAGGAAATATTTAAAGTACTTAAAAAGACTTCCTGCCCAGAATTCTTTATGTAGAAAGATTATTATTCCAGACAGAAAGGAAGAATAAAAAGCCTTACTGAAAAGGAAAAACTAAAAGAAATTATCAACACCAATCTGCACATGAAAGACTTAAAGGGGTTATTATAAAGTAACAAAACAATGACTTTTAAGCCAAAGGACACCTAAATCACTTAACATGGATGAGAAAGAGGAGGAAAACAACAAAGTACCCCATCAGAATGAGTCAGATAAGACTGTCCACCAGGTCATAGAGCAAGATAAGAAGCAAGAGCGAATGACCAGCAAGAGCAAATAAGTTTAATATAGACACCTACAAAATACGCCACTGAAAACCTGCTACATACACTTTTTTTTCAAGTACACTTGGAAAATTTTCAAATATAGGTCAGATGCTGGGACACAAGTCAATTGTCAATAAATTATAAAGACTGGGGCCTCCCCGGTGGCGCAGCTGTTGAGGGCTGGGCTATGAAGCTGCCCGCAGCCTCTGCAGCGCCGGTTTGCTCCCTCGCAATTGGCGAGGGTCCCACAAGTCACGCAGACCTCTCCTGCCGCGCCCGCTGCTCCCCTCAGCAGTTCAGTCTGCCCGTTCTACTCCCAGCTCTGGCTCTGGTGAATTCTCTCACCCTCCCATGCTTCTGACTTGTATAAATAAATAAATGCTTGTATAAATAAATAAATGAATATTAAAAAAAACAATTATGAAGACTGAAATTATACCCAGTATTTTCTCTGACCATAATGCCATAAAATTAGAAATCAATTATAAGGGAAAAAAACAGGAAAAAATATGAGTACATGAAGATTAAACAACATGCTACTTAATAACAGTTGGGTGAAAGAAGAAATCAAAGCCGAAATTAAAAAATACCTCGGGACAAATGAAAATAAGACAGTCTACCAGATGTATGGGATTCAGCGAAAGTGGTTTCAAGAGGTAAGGTAATTACAATATAAGCCCTCATGAAGAAGCAAGAAAAATTCAAATAAATAATCTGCTATCATACCTAAAGCAACTTGGTAAAGAGGAATAAACAAGACCCAAAGTTAGTAGAAGGAAGGAAATAATAAAAATAAGAGCAAAAATTAATGAACTAGAGATCAAAAGATGGCACAAAAAATTAATGAAACTAAGAGCTGGTGTGGGTTTCTATGAGCTGACCAACTCATGAGCAACTGTGACCTATTTGCTATCTACAAATCACAGCAGAACATTCCTTGACTACCTGTGGAGTATAGCTCCTATGGCGAGGCAGTCCTGGTGACACCTAGGCTGCTTGACCTGATTACGTGACTATCTTCATGGCGGTCTTGCAATAACTCTGCCTGCCATAACATAATTTGGTGACACAAATGTCTTTTGACATGTCATCACGATGTCCCCTTCCCTATCCCTTGTAAAACTTTGTAAAATCTCTTGTGAAAAAATCCCCACTCCTATCCTTCCTTCTGGACCCTGTTCCTCATACCATTGTCACATGATCAGCTTTTATTATCCTCTATGATTTCAATAAATGGCACAAGAACGTCTGCTCAAGTAGCAGAGCCTTTCCTTGCAAACCTGCTTTATGACTGTTGTACCCCTCATCATGTTCCTGCCACAAAGCAGCAACAAAGTTCCTGTTTCAACAAACTGGTTCTTTAAGAAGATAAACAAAATATATAAATCTCTAGCTATGCTACCAACAAAAGAGAGAGTGAACATTAATAAACACAATCCCAAATGAATGAGAAAAAATTGCTATATATAGCACAGAAATGTAAAAGATCATAACACCTTACTATCAATCACTGTGTGGCAATAAATTTGATAATCTTAAAGAAATGTATATTTCTCCATCAATATAATCTACTAAGACTAACCCAGAAAGAAATTGATGAATTCAGCACACCAGTTACAAGCATTGAATTGAAACAGGAGGCCTCCCTGGGGGTGCAAGTGGTTAAGCACAGCACTGTGAAGCTATCCACAGCCTCTGCAGCAGGAGTTTGATCCCCACCATCCAGGGAGCTACCCACATGGCACAGAAGACCTCTCCTGTCTCATCCGCTGCTCCCCTCAGCAGTGTATTTCAGTGTATTTGTTCCCTTTTCTTTTTCAGGAGTCTTATCCTGGGTTATTGGCTCTGGCTACTGGTAGGTGCTTGAGTTCTAGTTTGTTCACGCATTTCTTTGTTTCGGTTTTAACCCTGGGGAAAGGGGTGGCAGGGGTTTTGGATATTTCAGCCTGGGCTTCAAGTAGTAGACTCTTCTGTAAGGAAACCAAAGTTTAGGATACAGCTGTCAAGTCAAAAGCACTCCCTATGTGCCCCAGCTCTCCGACAATGTACCCTCCATCCTGGGTACCTGCTCATACAACCTGTTATACAGTGCTGCTATGATAAAGCAGCCCTGACCGTAAAATGGGGAAAAGACTGTGTCTTTAACAGAAGTTGGTGGAAAAATTGCATAGCCACACATAAAAGAATGAAGTCAGATTATCACTAACACCGTGCAAGAAAACAAACTCCAAATGGATTATAAGTTCACATACAAGACTTCAGTGATAAAATACACAGAAGAAAACAATGGTGATATAGTCAATGATATCAACAGTAAAGATATTTTTGGTGACTTGAACCCTATGATAAGGGAATTAAGACAAAAGCATTGGAATTACCTCAAGTTTAAAAGCTATACAGCAAAAGAAAAAATAAAATGATTAAATGGACATCTTATTGAATGGGAGAAAGTTTAATATATCCAATAAGTGATTAATATCCAAGATATATAAAAACTCATATAATTCAACACTAAAAAAACCCAATTTAATAAATGTGCAGCAGATTTGAGCAATTAATAAATGAGATATCCACAAAGTCAAAGAAACCAACAAAAAACCCATTTGTTCCACAGTGTTCATGGAAGCATTATTTAAGATAGCTAGGATATGGAAGCAGCCTAAATGTCCATTGATAGCAATTGGGCCAAGAAAATATGGTATAATCACACCAACGAGTATCATATAGTCAAAAGAAAGGATGAAATGCAGCCACTTTTATTTTTTTATTTTTTATTGTTTTTTTCCAAAGATTTATTTATTTATACAAGAACTGGGGTACAGTCAGAAGTGCTGGTGGGTGAGAGAATTAACCAGAGCCAGAGCAGGGAACAGAACAGACAGACCGACAAAATACACTGCTGAGGAGAGCAGTGGACACAGCAGGAGAGATCTGCGCGCCATGTGGTACCCTCACCGGCAGCCGGGGATCGAACCGGCGCTGCAGAAGCTGCAGGAAGCTTTGCAGCCCAGCGCTCAACCGCTGAGCCACCAGGGGAGGCGCTTTTTTATTGTTTTTTAAAAGATTGATTTATTTATACAAGAGCTGAGGTACAGGTTAGAGGCACGGGAGGATGAGAGGATTCACCAGAGACAGAGCAGGGAGCAGAACAGGCAGATGGACTGAGAGCAATGCTGAGGGGAACAGCAGGCGAGACAGGAGAGGTCTGCTGCGCCATGTGGGTATCTCCCTGGCTGGCTGGGAATCAAATCCGTGCTGTAGAGGCTGAAAAGCAGCCTTTTTTAACAAAATGAAGGCAATTTGAGAGAATGCAGCAAAGTAATACAGAATGGTAAAAATGAATACTGAACATTTGCAATTTGATAATGTAAAATCCTTTCAGAAATCAGTGGCTATTAATAAACATTCTGAGGGCTCTGCGGTTAAGAGAGAGGAGGGAAAGATAGGGAATATAAGTGGAATACAAGGAAAGATGGTGGGGAAAAATCTTCAGAAAATAATAATAGAGAAATCAAAGTTTATAATGTTTATTACATGTCAGGTATTTTTAAAAAATAATATTTCTCGGTGCATACTTTTCTTGATTTTTTGGGACTTTTTAAATCAATTTTTAAATGCTTTTGAATACTGCTATTAAATATTCTCAAGTCAGCTTGCTTTTCTCCCTTACGCACATTATGATTTTCTTGTTTTTCTTTTTGCTCCTAGGACTGTAGGATTCTTTATCTTAGTCAACTGACACCTTTACTAGAATATGTTCCAGTTTTGATTAGTTATTATCAGCTATTTCTGAAATTAAGAGTACTTCCTAGTGTATTGTTTCAAATCTTTTATTTCAGTAGTATTTTCTTGAAGTATACTTTTGAATTTTGGGCACCTATTTGTTCTATTTTCTGCAGGAAAGCAAATTATGTAATTTGAACAAATATTAAATTTACCCTGCTTTTTTTTGGGTTCTTTCATAATTATCTTGTCTGTTTTTAAATTAAGCATTTAAAGATATTTTTATGAATATAAGTGATGACTCATTTGTGTATGTGAACCTTGTAAAAAACTGGAACAAAGTTTTAGTCTTTCTAAGACACTGTAATTTTTTTTTTCAGGTTTTCAAAATTCATTTCTACAAATCATAGTTCCAGAGAAAATTCAAGCAAATACAAGTAATTCAAAAATAGAAAATGTAAGAAATGTTTTTATCAAAAATATTATATAAAATTTCTTGTTTTTATTAAATAGCAATGAAATGTATACATTCCATTATGATATGTGTATAGTTAGTAATACTACTGAATAGGAATTGAAAAATTTCATGGATAAAGTAAATATATACATCATACTGATATGTTTGTCTATCATTTGTTGTTTCTTTATGGTAAAGCTTTTTTTTAAATTCAAAATCAGAAAATAATGTAAAAGAATTAGGGTCTTGAGCTATCTAGATGATTAAGATTAAGAACAATTTTCTCCACAATGGTTAAGGAGAATCACTTTTAATTGCAAAGCCTCCTTCCTTAATCTTCCATCCCTGTGCCTAACAGTTCTTAGGAGAAACACTTTTATTATTTTTGTTAGAAAAGGGGATTCTTATTCTTACTCATCAATTTATTTAGCAGATATTTCTCTGGAATTATGTGTATAAATATGTGCTAAGTATCAGGGATTACAGATATATAGTAAAGCAAGTATGAAGTTGTCAATCTTTTGATAAAACCTTATATTTTTAAGCTTTATTGAGGTATAATTTACACACCACAGAATTCGCCCATTGGAAATGTATGGCTCAGTGATTATTAGTACAAAGAGTATGTGAACATCACTGAAATTCAATTTTGGAACATTTCTATTCTCCTAAAAAGTTCTTTCATAACTATTTGTTTCCACCCCAAGCCTGTGATAACTGCTGTTCTGTGTTCTGCTTATATAATTTTGCCTTTTCTGGACATATCATTTAAATGTAAACATACTATTTATATAGACTTCTGCATTGGGCTTCTTTCACTTAGGTTTATCTGTTTTGTAACATCAGTACTTCATTAATTTTTATTACTTAATAGATGTAGGTATATCATGTTTTGCTTGTTTTTCCATTCAGCAATTGATGGTTGGGTTATTTTTCATATATTGTCTCATGAATACTTTTTTATGAACATGTATGTGTGGATATATTTTTTTCTTTACTTTGAGTTGATTCTAGGAGTGAAATTGCTGTGTCACATGGTAAATTTATGCTAAACATTTTAAGAAATGACCAAGCTGTTTTCCATGGTGACTGTATCATTTTACATGTCCCATCAGCTCTTCCAGCTGAAATGAACTGGTGAAAATACACATATTTTTAAGTTGATAGTTGGAATTAAAAAACTGTTTTTAGAGTAGTGCTTTGATTAAAACATAAAAACTAAAGGAAAAGAGCATAAAATATACCTACTATGATTTGTCAACAAGTTCACATTTATGCTCTTATGTTAAGATGTGTTGCATTTACCCTCATTTTTTGAGAGTTTTCGTCATAAATGGATGTTGAATCTTTTCACATTCTTGGCATCTATTAATTTGATCATATAGTTTTTATCTTTTTGTTGAAGTAGTGAATTACATTGATTGATTCTATATGTTGAACCATCCTTGTGTCTCGTTATAAATCCCACTTAGTGGGTGTATAGTCCTTTTAATGCATTATAAGTTTCGGTTTGCTAAGATTTTGTTGAGGATTCTTGCATCTGTATACACTAGGAAGATTGGTTATAGTTTTATTTTTTTCTGTTTTCGGTAGTATAGTCATGTTGGCCTCGTAAAATGTGTTTAGAAGTATTCTTACTCTCAATTTTTTGGGAGAGTTTGAGCAGAATAGGTATTAGTTCCTCTGTGGAGGTTTTGTAGAATTTTCATGTGAAGCCTTCTGGTCCTGGACTTTGTTTTTGGAAGAGTTTTGATTACTGTTTCATTTTCCTTGCTTGTGATTGGTTGTTCAGGTTTTCTATTTCTTCACTATTCAGCTTTGGATGATTACATAATTCTAAGAATTTGTCCATCTCATCCCAAAGAGTTTTCAAATGTAAAAGAGAAATGAGAAAGCTCACGTTGCATTTGAGTATCTTATATGGACTCTAAACAGGTTTTTGAATTTGTTTCCATGTAATGTTCATAATAATCTCTTATTAGCCTCTGGATTTCTGCAGGGTTTGTTGTAACTTTCGTTAGTTTTTGATTCTATTAATATTTAAGCTTTCTCCCCTTTTTTTTGATGAGCCCAGCTATAGGTGTGTCTGTTTTATTTTTTCAGAGAACCAGCTTTCAATTTCATTGATCTTTTGAACTGTCTTTTTGATTTCTATTTATTTCTGCTCTAATTTTTAGTATTTAATTCTTCTACAAGTTTTTGGTTTTGTTCTTCTTTGGCATATTGTTACAGATTTTAGATAACATTTTGATTCATTTTAATCAAGACATTTTAAGCATTTTTTGGGAGGGGATAATTTATGTAAATTGCTATTTTTCTTCCATTACATTGTGTTCATTCATAGTTGTTCTGGATTCTCTAGGAACAGATATCCTATATTATTCCAATAGATGAGAAACCATATATTGTGCACCTTAAGCAAAGGTAATATCTTATATTTAGTTTTGGATTTCACTTTATTTATATAAATTTTTAAACTTATATTAAAAATGGAATATTAAGTATTAAAATATATTAGTTATTAAAATTTTTAGTTGTCTCACATGCTCATCAGTTCATTAATTAAATTTTGGTCCTTATACCTTAAGTAATCTTTTGTGAATGGGGTGGTTTAGAATAGAAAATGCAGGGATTTGTCTCCTGAAGATTATGATTTTAAATTGGCAGAATAAGTAGGACCTGGTAATCAGGGCAGAGTGTCAATATAAGAAGTAAGGTAGTGAGTGAATATATAGTTGGGATTTGATAAGGGAGGCAGGCCCATCATGAGGGATATGAACAAGGGATTTAATATGCAAAGCAAATCATACACTGTTATGGGAACTGATGAATAATTTATGGAAATAGTAGTAACTTTACACTACTTTTCAGAGAATTGAGAAAACAATTGAAATAATTTTCTGCATGATTTACTTATGTGATGGAAACTCAGTTGAGAAAGGTTGACTGAAAGTAATTTGTGACTTTCAAGAGGACAGCTTCAGTTAAATTTTGGGTGTAAAGCTAGAGAAGATGAATTGTGTGTAGCCAGAAGTAAGTGTAAGACACTTTTCCAAAGCATTTGGCAAAGAAAGAAGAAAGGGATTCTCAGATGAATGCTTTTTTAAGAAAGAAAAAGCAAAGTTTTTTTTGACTAAGGAAAGTTTTCTTTAAGACAGATGTGTAAACAAATGATACGATGTGTAAGATGCCAAAGAATGGTATTGAGGAAAAGGATAGTTAACCTCTTTTAGGCAGAAAGGAAGAATATGATGAATGACATCCCAAAGAGTTTTCAAATGTAAAAGAGAAATGAGAAAACTCACATTGCATTTGAGTATCTTATATGGACTCTAAACAGTATAAGAAATATAGGGGCTGGCGTTTGGGAAATGGAGAGAGCATGTGTATATTGTTTTCAGAAATCACCTATTAATTATGACAGTGCAGTGACAGGAAGTTATTGTAAATAACCTATATGAGAAATAATGAGAAGAACTATGGCTGAGTGGAGGTAGGTGATTTTTTTTTTGAGACCTGAGATGGCAGAAAAAAGATTAGCTGACAGATTGAATATAGTGGTAGCAGAGATTTGGTGGGGCAGTGAAAGAGAAAGGAAATATAACTGAGTCATTGGAAATATGGGATCATTTCTAGAAGAAATATCCTATTGATAGATGTAGTTTCAAACATGGGAGAAAGGTGTGAATTTCAATGCCATCTTTTTATGTAGGTATAAATGAAGCAGTAAAAATGAATAATGTAAATCTATAGAGGTGGGGGTAAATATTAAAGGTGAGAAGGAAAAGCAACCCAAAACTGAATACTGTGGAAACATTAAAGAGAAAAAACAAGAATCTAGATGAAGGACTTACTTATAAAAGTAGAGAGAAAGATATGAGGGAAACCACGGGGAAGTTCAAGAACAGATGTTTTAGGAATGGGGGAGATTGTGGTCAACACTATGAAGTGAATCAGAGTAGTTTTACTTGACTTCAAAGTGCCTATTGTATTTGACAACTGGGTGGGGGTCCATAAGTAAACCATGTAATAGCAGTGTTAGTGGAGAATTTCCAGCAGTAGATAGTCTGAGTGGTCATGTTAACATTACGTTGGATACAAGAGTGAGCAATAAGTATGGAAGCAAAATTAAAATGGCAAACTAAGTATAGAGAATAATATCAGAGAAGACTGAACTTAAACTTGTAGTTTTAGTACCTATATTCAGATTAATGGCTTTTGTACAATACTCTTCCACCTCATTATAAAGATAATCATAGTAGTAAAATTTAGGAAGAATGAAAGAAGCAATACACATTGAGTAACTGTGTATTGCTTTGAATAAAAAATACATGCATACATATATACACTACCTTTGTCAGGGGCTGGCAAACTTCTCTATATCCATATTATAGTGAATACTTCAAGATTTTTAGGACCATACCATCTTTTTCAAAACAACTCCACTTGTCACTGTAGCCTGAAAGCAGCCATAGGCCATACATAAATGAATGGGTGAGGGTCTATCTAATAAGACTTTATTTACCAAAGTAGAGAGTAGGTCAGATTTGTCCCAAAGTTGTTAGTTTACTAACTGATACTTTACATATATGTTTTTTAAATATACTTTTAAGAATTAATATTTTAAAAAATATATTTTAAAAAAACTCTTACTCTTTTTATATTCAGATTATTTTTAGCAGAAAACTTCATGGTTTATTTGTATAATCGAGGATCTTTGACTTCTCATCATTCAGATACCCAGGTAAGTTTTAAGTTCCATGTTTTATCTGATTTTTAAACCTATTGAAATGATATTGAATAGATGCTTTCCTAACATAGAATCCCAGGATTCACTGGGAAAGCCTTTATTGCAACAGGGATTGATTTATTGTCTCACTTCCCTTATTACACTTTTCTGATGTCTTGGTAAATTAAAGCGAACTAGATAGAGTTAGCACCTTCCGTATTACCTAGAACACAGCCATTATTTAATTATTTTATTAATTTATATTTTGCTGAATAAATAATTATAAATTAAAGAATAAAAAAAGCAAACAAATGTTCTGGACACAAAAATGTTAGATGAAAACCTTTCCCTTTTTTTTTAATTATTATTTTTTAGAGGCATGTTATTTATTTATTTGTTTGTTTGTTTGTTTTGTTTATGCATGCACTGGGTACAGTCAGAAGCGCGGGAGGGTGAGAGAATTCACCAGAGCTAGAGCGGGGAGCAGAGCAGGCAGAAGGACAGAAGGACACTGCTGAGGGGAGCAGCGGGCGGCAGGAGAGGTCTGTGCGCCATGTGGGACCCTCCTCCGGTGGCCGGGGAGCAGCCGGGGATCGAGCCGGAGCCGCAGAGGCCGCGGGCAGCTTCGCAACCCAGCGCTCAACCGCTGCGCCACCGGGGAGGCCCTTTCCCTGTTTTTTTGACTTCCCATCCAACCCATTTACAAATCCTGTTGACTCTATACTTCAAATGATATAACCAGAAACTATCTTTTCCCTTGTCTCCACCTGCTGATACTACTCTTTTCAAGTAGTTTGGATTACTGCCATATATTTCCTGAATCATTTCCCTACTCCTTTACCTTGCCAACCTCTCAGTCAATTCTCAACATGGATCTTGTTAAAACCTCTTCAAATTATTTAGCTTTTCTTCTCAGACCCTCCTGTAAATGACCTCTCATTGCTCACAGAGTGAAAACCAAAGTTACTTTAATATCCTAAAATCTCTACACAACCGTGTCCCCTTTTACCTCTCTGACCTTATTTTTATTCTCTACCTTGGTTACTGTATTCCAGTTACATTGGTGTCCTTGCTGTTTTTCAAATGTACCAGACATGTTTTCCTTTTATAGACTTTGCACTTCCTATTTTTTCTAATCCAGATTCTTGTTCTTTGCTAAGAACTCACTTTTTGCTCACTCCTCACTTTTTTCTATCTTATTCTCTAAAGGTATTTGTTCAGAATTACTCTATTACATAGTTCTTGACTAATCTTCATTTTAAATTACAGTATTGTACTTTGTACTCTATTTTCCTTACCTGTTTTGTTTTTCTCTATGGTAGTTACCAGTTCATTATGTGCTGTATATGCGTCGACTATTTATTTTGCTTCCCAGTGCAATATAATTTTCATGAGGGAAGGACTTTTGGTTTGTTTATTCACTGATGTATCCCTATTGCTTAGAAAATGTCTGGAACATAGTATATAGTAAAAATTTATTGAAATATTGAATTGAACTCCATATTATTTCACTTATATTGGATAGGACTATCAGTTTCTTTTTTTTTTTTGCTCCTCCTACCCTTATTTCCAACATAAAACAATGTGATAATAAGAATTCTTACATTGATTTCTATCAGTGTTTATAGTTTCACTGAATCTTCAGATGTAGTCTTCTGGTTTTTTTTTTGTTGTTGTTGTTGTTTGTCTTTGATGATGCTTGCTGTATCTCTAGTTTATTTTTACCATGGTCAAAGACCAACAGTTGTATGATTTTAGTACTTTAAAATTAATGCTGTGCATCATGGCCCAGAAGGTAGTTTCATTTTTTAAAAAGATTTATTTTATTTATTTATGCATACATGAGCTGGGGTGTGAACCAGAGGTGAAGAATGGGAGGGGTGAGTATATTTACCAGAGACAGAGTGGGGAGCAGTGGGCAAGAGGAGGAGGTCTGCTGAGCCATGTGGGTTAGCTACCTGGCCAGGGTTGGACTTGTGCTGCAGTGGCTGCCTAACCCCTTGTGCCACCAGGGAGGCCTTGCCTATAGTTTCATTTTTGTAAATGTTCATATTCTTTGAAAAAATAGTGTATTCTACAGTCTTAAAATATGGTATTTTACCTATGGTAGGTTGTTTACATACTGTCCAAATTGGCTCTAGATTTCAAAAGCTTGATTTATCAGTTATTGACAGAAACGCATATTAAAAATTTTATTATGATTATGCATTTCTCTACTTTCAACTTTGGATTTATGTATTTTGAAACTGTATCACTAAACAAATGCAAAATTGGAATATTTATGTTTTTGGTGAATTGAAACTCATCATTATGTAATGCCCCTCTTAATTTAAAGCCTGCGTTTTCTGAATTATTTTATGTTGGGAATCATCCTTATTCATTTGTGTTGGCATGCTGTAACTTTTTCTAGCCTTCAATATTCTTGTGCCCTTCAATTTTTAGATATTTCTTTAAGCCAAATATTGGGTTTTTAAGGAAAAGCAGAATTCATAACCTTTGTCTTTTAATTGATTACCTAAATTTTTTGTATTGGAACATAATTTTATCTAAGATATTAGATAATTTAGAAACAGCATAAAATAATCCTGGGCATTAATCTGAAGAGTAGTGAATGTAGCAAATATAGGGAGATTGTTTTCTGAATGTCATGTTATTCACAAATATAAACTATGTAGCCTATCAAAAGTATTTGGAAAGTTTTACTAAGTATAAATTAAGAAATCATTAGAAATTATTTTGTCAATTGCTAAGTGGCTTTGCTTCTTTTCTTTCCTAGACTCAGTGCTATTACCAAGGATATATTGAAGAACATCCAAATTCTGTTGTCACACTCAGCACATGCTCTGGACTGAGGTTATATGTTTTCTACCATTGATATGTGAATACCACAGTTATGATATTTGGCTTCAGTAAATTTATTATGTTTTTATTATAAGTGTAGTTAGAAGAGGATTTCTATGTGGAAGATAGTCCTCTAAAGGTCTTCTCTAATGTCTTCACTTTCCTCACTGACTAGAGATACTTCTAGTTTCCTTGAAGATTTAGAGTTCCTGGTCTCCTTGGTCTAGATCTTGTTTCTTCTTAACTACAGAAATGACAATTAAATAGACCTGTGTACAGCGAGTTGGAAGAACTAAATTTCGTATAGTTTATTTCTAGCAAGTGGTTTTGATATCTACCTTATATTAGCCTAGTGTTTGGAGATAAAAAGATACAGATAAAGGTATGCTTTTCTAAAGGAAAACCATCATTAAAAGTAAAAGGCAAATTTTTTGTAAACAATTATTAATATTATACTCATGTTTTTCTAATATATCATTGTCTTTAACTCCCTAAGAATTGTAGGTTTTACTCTGGAATAGAGTTTTCCATTTTGTAAGGAAATTTTTCACTTATATCTTGTAGTCTGGGATCCTTGTTTTTAAAAAGAAATGAACTAATACAACTGATTAAGGGGTGAATAGTAATAACAGTTGTTTACTCTTTAAAATCTTGCTTTTATTTTCTTATTCAGATGATACAAACAAAGTTAATAAGAAATACCTTCTCTTAATTACTGCCAAATTTTATTTTCAGAAATAAAATGGCTCATATATATCTTTTTGTTATACAAGCAATGTAACCATTATTCAAAGGCAGTATAATCCAGAGACAAACTCATGATGCTTTCTATTTACTATTGCTTTTATTAAGTCATTTATTTGGAGGCCAGCGGAATTATTTGATCACTATAATGTTGTATATTTGTACACCTAGCAGCTGGTTACATAATTTTTGTTGCATTTATAACCATAGAGAAAATAAAACAGAAATTTAGTTCTGGGAATTATGGACATCTTTGTCTCTTTAGAGTCTGCAAAACATAGAGAGTCTGGGTCAGAACAACTCAGATATGTTCTGTATCTTTTACCTTTGTCTTTGCCCTCCATCTTTCCCTTTTACTATCTTAAAGTTTTATAACATAGAATTGAGGAAAAGCACTCACATTTTTATTCTTAATTTTACAGAGGAATACTACAATTTGAAAATGTTTCATATGTAATCGAGCCTCTGGAATCTGAAGTTGAATTTCAGCATCTTCTTTATAAATTAAGGAATGAAAACAATGATTCTACAATTCTTACTGCAAATAACAAAGGTATAAAACAAAATCCAATGGACTATAACATTTTTATAAGTGGAAAGGTGAGTTGCGTATGCTTTATTATTAATTTCAAGGAAGTTATTGCTTTTATTAAATATAGTTTAAAAAGAAATTTATTAAACTATTACATACCTATAACCTCTCCTTGAGACTAGTCTTACCTTTTCTTACCTTACAATTTTTTTTAAACCATGTAGCACTATTTTCTCTTTGTAACATTTAATTATTTACATTTTTTTCTGGTTTGGCAATGACTTTTTTAAAAATTGAAGTAACATTGGTTTATAACATTTTATAGGTTTCTCTTGTACAACATTAAATTTGACATTTGTCTCTACTACATTATGCTTTCACTGAAAGTCCACCTTTCACATCTCTTTTTCTTATGATTTGTTTTTTTAATTTATTTTATAGTTACATACTTACAACTTTTAGAAAATTAACTTGTGTATATTCAGTATAAACTTAAAAATTTCAGTTCATACTTTTACCATTATATTCTGGAAGTTTAATTTGATAAAGCCAATGTTTATGAAGGTTGCATTAGTAACTAAATAGTCAGCATTAGTTTACTTATAAGTATAATTAAAGCTGATTATACGCAGGATTGTCACTTGTGGCTATGCAAATTGTTCATTATACACCCTGTACATGTGTTGATCCTCATAAAAGTAATTGTGAAAGATTTTTTTCACAATTTTTATGCCAAATGGCATAAGTATGTATAATTTATATAGGAGGTATAAGCTTAACTATTCCCAGTAAATATGCTCCCATCTTCTGTCAGTTTACAAAAAAATAAAATCCATCATAATTCATCTAGGTGAAAGAAGACTTCATTTTTAAATTTCCCTTGCCATGAGACAAAATTATGGCTAACTATACGTGAGCATATGTAAATATGTGTCATATCTGAATTAAATTATAAAGGAAGGGAGCTTATCCTCTTCTCCTTTTCCCTTTCCTGTTACCTACAGTGACGACATGTTGATACACGATAGCCTACAGGATGAGGGAGATACCATAAGTTACAGAGCAATGAGGCAGAATGAGCTTGTCAGACTTTAATATGAGAGGAAAAAAATTCCAATCTTGTTTGATGCCCTGTTATTCTTATGTTTTTGTTTTAGTTTCTAACCCTATATCCTAAATAATACAGGACTAAAATACAGGACTATGTAATATCCATGTAGCACCAAAATATTAATGCTATCACACATGTGTTTAATTAAAAAATATTTTGTTGACTAAATACAAATTTACTTTTCCTTCTAAGAATTTATGGGATGATTTACAATTGCTTAGATTACCAAGTATTGTATATAGTATTGATGCTGTTTCCAGATTCCCTTAGAAGCTCTTTTACCATATTATTGTGGATATTAGGCAAGAGGTTGGTGCACCCCGTCTTTGATTATGCTTTTGCTTTCAATACCTAGAATCTGTGACTCTTTGAAAAAAGTTATTTGTATATAAATTTTTCTTCCAGTTTTATTGAGATGTAATTGCCATATATGTAATATTTCATTAAAGTACATTACATGATTTGATATATGTCTATATTGCAAAGTAATTATTACTATAAGTTTGGTTATCATCAAGTACTTTGCAAATATCTTTTTCTTGTGATGAAAATTTTAAACATTTACTCTGTTAGCAACTTTCAAATATATATCACTGTATTGCTAACTGTAGTCACCATTGTACATTATAGTTCCAGAACTTGCTTTTCTTTTATCAGGGAATTGGTATCTGTTGGCCACTATCATTCTTTCCCCTTTGCCTCTGGCAACCATCAGCTTGTTTTATATTTCTATGAATTCATTGTTTTTTTGTTTGTGTTTAACATCTCACATATGAGATAATACAGTATTTGTTTTTCCTTTATATGATTTATGTCACTTGGCATAATGCACTGAGCTCTATTGTAGTTTTAGATAGCAAGATTTCCTTCTTTTAATGGCCATCATAACAAAATGTTACAGACTAGGTGGTTTAAACAGCACAAATTCATTTTCACACAGTACTGGAGATAGAAGTCTAAAATCAGGTTGTTTGATTTCTTCTGCGGCCTCTCTTCTTAGCTTATAGATGGGCATCTTTTCCCTGTATTTTCACACGGTCTTCCTCTAGCCTCTAGACACCAATGGCTGATTGGACCAATGGATATGAATGGACCATTATTTCTTATGTCTAGAATGTCAGCTCAGGTTTGTACAGATGTTACATAGGATTGTAAATGTTGGGGTGGTAGCATGCAAGACTTCCTGAGATTCAGGTTCACAACTAGCACACCAGCACTTACAATGTATTTATTATTTAATGCAAATAATTCATACAAGGCTTAGCCTATATTAAAGGGAGAAGAAATAGATTCATATCTTAATGGGAGGCACATGCAAAGTCGTGGATGCAGGAAGAAGTGACAAAACAAATATTTTTTCTATTTTCCACCTAAATTATTTTTAGAACAGAAATTTAGTTTATTTCTAATATGCATATATGAAAAAGATGATTATATATACTAGTTGTTTTATCTTAAGTCACAAACTTAAAAACTGTATTGTCTAATGAACTTTATAACTGATTATCTTATTCCTTGAGTAAACTGCAATGAAACTTAAAGCACTATGTATTGATATTAACCAATTGTAAAGCAAATACTAGTATATCCTGTAAGTACTCGAGTAAAATAAAGATTTAAAATGTTAAAGCCTGAAAGAGTAAAACTCTTAAAAGAAAATATAGGTAAAATAGTTTGTTTTTTTTTTAAACATTTTTTTAAAGATTTGTTTATTTATTTATACAAGCACTAGGTACACTCAGAAATGCGGGAGGGTGAGAGAATTCACCAGAGCCAGACCGGGGAGCAGAACAGGCAGAGTGACGAATACACTGCTGAGGGGAGCAGCGGGCACGGCAGGAGAGGTCTGCACGCCATGTGGGACCCTCGCAGGCGGCCGGGATCTAACCTGCGCTGCAGAGGCTGTGGGCAGCTTCGCAGCCAGCGCTCATTTGCTGCGCCACCAGGGGAGGCCCGGTAAAATAGTTTTTGACATTAATCTGGACAATGATTTTTTTTTTATGTTACCACAGAAACACAGACAACAAAAGCAAAAATAAACAAATGGGAATGCATCAAACTTAAAAGCTTCTGCACAGCAGAAGCTGTCAACAAAATAAAAAGGCAACTTAAGAATGAAAATATTTGTAAACCATATGTCTGATAAAAGATTAATATCCAAAATGCATAAGAAACTCATGTAACTTAATAGCATAAAACCAAGTTCTTTGTAAGTGATTTGACAAAGAATGAAAAAAAAATGGACTAAGGAACTTAGATCCATTTCTAAAGAAGACATAAAAATGACCAACGGGTACATGAAAAGGTGCTCAACATCACTTATTATGAATTGCAAGTCAAAAACCACAGTAAGATAATGCTTCACACTTATTAGGAAGGCTATTAGCAAAAAGACAAAAGATAACAAGTATTGGCAAAGATGTGGAGAAAAGCAAATCCTTGTGCACTGTTGGTGGGAATGTACTTTGGTACAGCCACCATGGAAAACAGTGTGTAGGTTCCTCGAAAAAAGAGAGTTCTACATGATCCAGCAATCCCATTTCTGTATGTATATATACATACATATATACACACATATGCACACACGTGTGTGTATATATACACATACATACATATGCACACACACACCGACACACACACACATATATATATCCCCACAGGAAATGAAATCAACATTTTGAAGCGATATCCCCACTGTTGTGTTCAAGGAAATATTTTTCACCTTGGTGAAGATATGGAAGCAACCTCAATATCCATTGATGAATGACAGAAAAAGAAAATGTTTTATAAGGCATTTATTTAGCTGACAAATCTGAAACAGTTGTTTGCTGCCCAGGTTTCCACTACAGACGCAAGAAAAAAAGTGCTCTTGCATTGTCAGATTATGGCAGCAAAGATTGAATAGGTGAAATACGGCAGAAAAGCCTGGAGAGAATTTTTTGCAAGGCAGAAATAACCTTGTAAACAGTAGAGTCTGGGGCCGCCCTGGTGGTGCAAGGGGTTAAGTCTCTGCACTATCAAGCTGTCAGTCATTGCAGCACGAGTTCCATCTGGCCAGGGAGGTGACCCACATAGCACAGCAGACCTCTCCTGTCTTGCCCGCTGCTGCTTCCCTGGGCAGTATATTGCAGTGGATCTGCCTGTTCTGCTTCCCACCCTGTCTCTGGTGAATCCTATAAACCCCCCATCCCCCTGCACCTCTGGCCTGCACCCTGGCTCTTGTATGCATAACTAAATAAATCTAAAAAAAACCCAAAAAAACCCAGTAAAGAGTCTGTTTTGTTTCCCCTCTTAAAAAAACAAATTGTGACACACCACACACACACACACACACACACACAGAGGAATATTAGTCTTTAAAGTGAGGGAAATTCTGCCATTTGTGACAATACTGTGTACCAGAGGACATTATGCTAAATAAAATAAACCAGAGATAGATTAATATTGCTTGATCTCACTTATATGTTGGATTTGAACTGTCTGCCTTATAGATGCAGAGTAGAATGGTAGTTGTTAGTAGCTGGAGACAAGAAGAAATGGGGAAATATTTGTCAAAATGTACAAAGTTTCAGTTGTGCAAAGTTCTGGAGATTTAGTAAGTAACATTACTATTGTTAACAATACTGAATTATAAACTAAAATTTGCTAATAGAGTTTGATCTTACACTTCATTACCATACAAAAAAGGTAACTTTGTGAGGTAATGCTATATTGATTAGCTTGATTTTGGCAATTATTTCATTGTATGTGTGTGTGTGTGTGTGTATACCAAGATATCAAGTCCTATATTTTAAATATACATGATTTTTGTCAGTTATGCTTTCAGTAAAGGTGGGAAAAGATTTTAAAAGTTCAAATAATTTGTGAAAGTTTTTACATTTTTAAATGCTGCTTTTCTTTTCTTTAGGCAGAACCAGCTGTTTCAGATTTAATTCCACTTTATCTAGAAATGCATATTGTGGTGGACAAAATTTTGGTATGTGCATTGTTTTTTTCTTTGCTTTTAAATATTTGGTGAGAATGTATGATTATCCCTACTGGAAAAGATCTTAAATATTCTGAACCTACTCAAATGTCATAGAGAAAACAATGGAAAAATTTGCCTTCTGAGAAACTGAATATTCAAATTTATACTAGTTCTGTCAGAAATGTTTTATTTGAAATCTTTATATAGCAGTCCATAACAAATGACTTTTTGCTAGTACATCACATCTTTAGGGTCTATACCAATACACAATATTTGTTGTTAAAATTTAAGTGAAATTCTTGAAGCCTTTATTCTTGCTTTTGAAGTATGGGGAAATTTGTTCTAAAAAATATTTATTGGCACAAGAGTGATGACCATATAACTACACAATAGGTGCTTACATTAATCTGTCAAGAATTATTTTTCAGCAGGTTTTAATGGTGCACCTTTTCCAGTCTATTATTTCCTGGTTTAAACATGCTTCTAGATTTCTGACTCCCATAAATTAATTTGAGGACCTGGGAACTTCAGGATCTTGGGGTAATAATGTAATTTGTACTCAACCAGGTGTAACTTTATTTTCCCTCTATTTCAAACATATCAGAAAACAGATATAAAAATGTACTTTCCAAGCTTTCTTCTGATAATAAGCATTTTTTAAAAAAGATTTATTTATTTATTTATACATGCACTGGGTACAGTCAGAAATGCGGGACCAGTCTGCATTCCCACCAACAGTGTACAAGGGGCTCCTTTTTCCCCACACCCTTGCCAGTACTTGCTGATTCTGGTATTTTTGGTATAGGTCATTCTCATAGGTGAGAGTAATTATATCATTGTTTTGATTGAAAAGTGATGATGAGCTTTTTTTCATATGACTGTTAGCCATCTATGTATTTTTTTTTTTTTTTTTGGTAAAGTTTCTATTTAGCTGCTCTTTTGCCTGTTTTTTGAATGAGCTATTTCTTTTCTTTCTGTTGAGTTATATGAGTTCTTTGTAGATCTTGGATGTCAATCCTTTGTGCAAATATCTTCTTCCATTCAATAGTGTGCCTTTTTGCTTTAATGATAGTTACTTTCAATGTGCAGAAACTTTTTAGCTTGATCTTAGTACCATTTGTTTACTTTTACTTTTGTTTCCCTTATCTTTGGAGTTGAGTCTCCAAAAATATCTCTGAAGCTAGTGTTGAGGTATATGTCTTCCTCTAAGAATTTTATGGTTTAGGACTTAGATCCAAGCCTTTGATCCATTTTGTGTTAATTTTTGTGCATGATCTGAGTTGTCTAGTTTTTTTCTCTTGCACATGACTATCTATTTCCCCCTATCTTTGTAGCTCAGATGGCCGTGTTATCCCTGAGTTCAGTACATTTATACTGCGAGTGATTATTGTAAATGAGAATTTGCTACTGTCATGTTTTCTTTAATTTTGTTTGTATCTATTTTCTTATTCAATTCCATCTTAATGTTTCTTTTTTAAAAAGATTTATGTATTTATACAAGATCTGGGGTACAGGCCAGAGGTGCGGGAGGTGAGAGGATTCACCAAAGACAGAGTGGGGAGCAAAACAGGCAGATGGACCAAAAATACTCCTGAGGGAAGCAGCAGGTGAGACAGGAGAGGTCTGCTGCGCCATGTGGGTATCTCCTTGGCCAGCCATGAATTGTACCCATGCTGCAGAGGCTGTGGACAGCTTCACAGTGCTGCACTCAACCTGCTGCGCCACCGGGGAGGCCCAAATCTTTTTTAAAAGAGGTCTAGCGTTGGCAAAGTGCTTCAGTTTCTATTTTCCTGGGAAGATCTTTATTTCTTGCTCATTTCTGCAAGATATAGTATTCTTGGTGGCAGTTTTTACCTTTGAATATTTTGAATATGTCATTCTTCTCAGTTGGGTCATATGCTGAGTCCATAATTTGTCTCCTCTCCCCTGACCTCTGCAGTATTTTTTTTTAAAGATTTATTTATTTATACAAGAACCGGGGTATAGGCCAGATGCGCCGGAGGGTGAGAAGATTCACAGAGACAGAGTGGAGAACAGAACAGGCAGACTGACGAAATATACTGTTGAGGGGAGCAGCGGGCGAGACAGGAGAGGTCTGCTCGCCATGTGGGTTGCTCCGAGGCCGGCGGGGATTGAACTGGCACTGCAGCGGCTGCGGACAGCTTCACAGCGCTGCACTCAACCGCCTGCGCCACCTGGGAGGCCACGCAGTATTTGTTTTGAACAAAATTGCTAGACTACTTTCAGTGTAGCTGCATGATTTTACATAGCTACCAGCATGTATAAGTGATCCAATTTATATCCATTTTTTAAATTTGTTACTGGCTTATTTTAAACGCAGCATCAAATCTCTGGGAGTAAATGGAGAGTAAATCTCAAATACAGGGGCCTCCCTGGTGATGCAGGCGGTTGAGCGTGGCGCTGTGAAGCTGTCTGCAGCTTCTGCAATGCAGGTTTGATCCCGGCTGGCTGCGGAGATACCCATATGGCCCTGCAGACCTCTCCTGTCTCGCCCGCTGCTCCCCTCAGCAGTGTATTTCTGTTGGTCTGCCTGTTCTGTTCCTTGCTCTGATTTTGGTGAATCCTCTCACCCTTCTGCACATCTGCCCTGTACCCTGGTTCTTATATGCATGAATAAATAAATCTTTAAAAGAAAATCTATGAAAATCTTATTAAAAAAACCTCAAACACATTACATAAGAAATTGTATTTAAATTTAAAATTAATTTTGTTTTTCAGTATGATTTCTTGGGCTCTGATGGCATGATTGTAACAAGTAAAGTCACTGAAATTATTGGCCTTGTAAATTCGGTAAGTAGTTTGCATTTCATACTAGTTAGAAAATTTGTATTAGTTTTGAAATTACACTTTAACTTGATATGGCATTTCTGAATAATAGTCATCCATATAAGTTAAGTTTTGATTTGTCAAAATACTGAATTTCTTAGTTATTATAAATTAACAAAGATTAATTAATTTTTCTGTTTTTAGATGTTTGCCCAATTTAAAGTTACTATTGTGCTGTCGTCACTGGAGTTTTGGTCAGATAAAAATAAGATTTCTACAGCTGGAGAGGCAGATGAAGTATTATATGCATTTTTAGAATGGAAACAGTCCTATCTTACCCTAAGGCCTCATGATATTGCTTATCTATTCATGTAAGAATAATGTTTCAGTATTCTTAGAAAGAAAACAAAGATATGTGATTATGATATAGCTTAATTTAGGGGATTGTTATTCATTTCTGACTTCACACTTTGATTAATCATTATGTACTTTTTTCAGGCCGTGTATTTTCTTTCTTGTTATCAGATAATAAAGATTGCTAAAATTTATTTTTGTGCTTATCAAACCTTTACCACTGAGGAGATTGATATTTCATGAAGCTGAACCACCTTAGGAATCTTGGATCTAGTAGCGTATGTAGTTTGAACCCACAGTTTGTAACTCCAGAGCCCATAATCTTAACTACTACATAAAGAGAGGGGATTTGTCTTGTGAAGTTTATGTTTCTGTTAAGAGTTTTTATCAAAGGGTTGGTAATTTAGATTAAAAATTTATCCTAAAGAATTTTCTGCATGATTTTAAAAAGTTAAATTTTTTTTTGGTCTAAATTAGTTTATTTGTTCACACCGATTCTTTCTTCACATTGAATAAATGTATCTGAAAGTAGCAAATTTGCCTCCTGATGAACAAACTTGGTATGTTTTAAATATATAGCCACAGTATCCTTCATTTCATGAGTTTAGAATTTCTGTAATATAGTTTATCTGTGGACTAAATAAATTCTGTTATTTCATGCATACATAGTGATTAAATAAGGTATAATATGCAAAAAATCACCCAGGAAAGAAAACTGCAGTATTATTATTTTTCTTTTTCTAGTTTTTTCTAATTAATTTGTTTATGTGTATTTTATGTCATTGTTCATTTTTGTACAATGTATGCTTTCTCCTCTCAGGTGTAGTCCCCGTAAAATTCCCAACACCAATTCACCCGTGCACCATCACCATGGTCACTTGTGTTCTTCCCTACCCTGTTTTGATCCGTCTCCCTCTCCTCCCCTGCAGATCGTCTCTGATTTATAGTTGCCTGTTAATTTTGTTTATTTACTTATTATTATTTTTTCCTGATACCTTATTTGGTTTCCCTATATTCCTCCAATAAGTGAAACCATCCAATATTTTTCGTTTTCCTTCTGTCTTATCTCACTGAACACAATCCCTTCCAGCTCTGTCCATGTTGCTGTGAATGGCGTGATTTTATCTTTTTTGATTGCTGAGTAGTATTCTATTGTGTATACATACCACATCTTCTTGATCCACTCATAAATCTTAACAAGATGGGAGCAGGGCCTCCCTGGTCGTGCAGGTGGTTGAGCGCTGTCCACAGCCTCTGCAGCGCCGGTTCGATCCTGGCCAGGCCGCGAGGGTCCCACATGGCACGGAAGACCTCTCCTATCTCGCCCACTGCTCCCCTCAGCAGTGTATTTCAGTCAGTCTGCCTGTTCTGCTCCCCACTCTGTCTCTGGTGAATCCTCTTACCCTCCTGCACATCTGGCCTGTATCCCAGTTCTTGTACAAATAAATAAATCTTAAAAAAAAAACAAAAATAACAAGATGGGAGCAGAAGGAAGCTATCTCAATATAAGAATGATCATATATCACCTACTTACAGTTAATGTAATATTTATTATGAGCAACTGAGAGCTTTTTCTTTATTATCAGGAACAAGGCAATGATGTCTGCTTTTACCCATTCTCTTTAATTTAATTTTAGAGTTTTACCTAGAGCAATCATAAAATTAAAGGAATCTGATTGGAAATGAAATGAAACTATTATTATTTGAAGATGTTATGATAGCATATGTAGAAAATCCTGAAGACTCCTAGACATCAAATAGCTATGAGAAACAATATAAAGGAATACAGTAAAATGTCAGGCTGAAACATCAACAGGATTTATTTCCATACATCTAATTCACTTATTTATTGTTATTTTAAGTTTTATATTGAAGTAACATTGGTTTACAATATTGTATATGATTAGGGTCTACTGTATAAACCAGCAATCTCATCAGGGTTCTCTGATATTCCTTTTGTTGAGTTCTGTGAGTTTTTGAAGATGTTACATACTAGCCCCTTGTCAGATATATGATTTGCAAATATTTTCTCCCACTCAAGGATGTTTTCATTTTAATGAGTTCTTTCATTGCTCACTTTTATATACAAATAATGAGTGAGAGTAAAAAGAAATTAAGATTGAAACCACAATTTGTAAAAAGATACGCTACACAGTGTTGACTGCAACATTGTTTACAATAGGTCATGGAAACAACTGAAGAGCCCACTAATAGAGTTTTAGATTAAAAGATGTGCTATATCTAGACAATGGAATACTTTTCAGCTATAAGGAAAGACAAAATGTCACCACTTACATCAAAATGGAAGGGGTTTGAGGGATTATGTGTAGTAAAGAAAAAAGATAAAGACACATATTGGATGTTTTCATATATATATGAGTAAATATATGGAATCATAGTGATCGATAAAAAAATTATAAACTAGCAGACATCAAAAATGAAATGGTTTCTGATTTCAAGAGGGGGAGGAAGAAAGGCAAGGGGCAGAGTGTGGTTTAGGAAATGGGAAAAAAGAAAATGGAAAGACAAACCAACAATCACAGACAAACCAAATAATCACAGACAATATTTTCAAATCACACATCTCATAATAGACATGGACCTTAAAGTTAAAACAGCAGTTAAAATTCAATAATTAAAAAAAGCCTAATAAAAAGCGGACAAAATATTTGAAGTCAGTTTACCAAAGGAGAATATGGATAGTAAATAAACATATAAAAAAATCCTCAACATCATTACTCATTAGGGAAATGTAAATTAAAACCACAAGAAAAATAATGACAATTAATAATGGCTAAATCAAAGTGAACAAAACAATTAAAAAATTCTCCAGTGCCACCTCCTGGAGATTATGTAGAACAACTGGAATTGCCATGGCTACTGGGAACACAAAATGACACAGTTCATTTGGAAAATGGCTTGACTGTTTCTATGAAATTAAACATATATTTAGCATATAACCTAGTAACTCCACTTTGAGGTATACCCAAGCATAATAAAAACTTTTTTTAACATAAAAATATGTAAGAGCATGTTTATAGTTGCTTTATTTGTAACCACCCCAAGCTGGAAATATCCCAGATGTCTTTACTGGAATAAGTAAATTGTGATATTTATACAATAAATTAATACTTATAAATAAACAGAAAAAAACTACCAATATGTATAATACCATAGCCGAATCTCAAATTTATTTTGCTGAGTGTAAGAATCCATTGTTTATATACACACACATAGATACAGGTAGGACATAAAAAAGTATTTTTTGGAAAAGGCAGCAAAACAAGATAGAAAACAGGTCAGAAATTTCCAAGGGATTGACATGGGGGGAGTAGTATAAAGGGGGGTTGATAAAATTGCTCTATATCTTAATTTTGGCAGTGATATTCTTTGGTCAGAAAATACTATACATTAAACATTGTACATTTTGCGGTAGTTACACACTTATTTTTAAAATAAGAGTTAAAATTGTGAATTTATATAGATAATTCTAATTAGTTTAACTGATTTAATCATAATTAACATTATAGCATTTTTACATAAATTCTTTAATTTTATAATTGTGTTCTTTCTTTTCCCCTAGAAATGTAGGCTTCTCATTTCATTCATGTGAATGTATTATGCTTTATGCGATAATTGTTTTTTGAGTGTATCTCATAAAATATGTCCAAGGAAATTTGTCTTCAGATAAATTCAAAGAAATAAATTATTACCAAATTTATATTAAATCAGTTTGATTTATTTGGTTTTATTTTTAAAACTTAATTTTACAACTTTGAATTGGTAACACATTTGCATTATTAAAAAATCAAACCTATTTAGAAAACTATACGCAGAAAACTGCTAAAAACATTTTTTTCTTACAATCTTCTTTATTACCTGTGCATTACAGAATAGTTATCATATCTACTCCCTGAAAGAATACTGTTCTCAATATAACAAGCATTAATGTAACCATCATTACAGAAAATTCTTGCTTCCAGTCTATAATCGCAATTCTTGCTTCTTATTTCCAAGGAGTAAAATGATTTTTTTTAAAGATTTATTTATTTATGCATACAAGAACTGGGGTACAGGCCAGAGATGGAGGGGGTGAGAGAATCCACCAGAGACAGAGTGGGGAACAGAACACACTTGTTAGTGCATCAATATGTTAATCAATAATGTTTGAGAGGGTCTGTTTCTCCAGTGTTGCCAAGAAAATGTATAATATACAGTCAGTCATATTTTTCTTTTTGCTATTACAAGTGGGTCTTTTATCTACCAAATACATATTGTTTTTATGTATAAAAATTATTTAAATTTCTAATATTGACCTTATTTCCTACTGCCTTACTAAATTTCATTTTTAATAATTCTTAGATTCATTACCTTGGCTTTTCATTCATACAAATATACCATCTATAAGTAGAGATTGTTTATTTTTTTTCTTAATTTTATGTCTTCAATTTCTTTATTCTTATTGCTTTGGCTAATTTAGTACAATGTTAAATAGCAATGGTAATAATGGTATATACATATGCGATATACATAAAGTGATACATACACATATACATGTATGCATGAATTTATTTTTCAGTGCACCCTTAAGAACTAGACTTTTTGGGCAGCATTCTGCATTTATTGGGGGCACTCTTTATGCTCTCATCTTCCCTTTGGGAGAAATCATGGCTCAGGTTGTCTCTCATAGAACTAAGCCCTGTTTGGGGAATGGTAACATGGGTAAGAAAACTGTTCTTACCTTCTGCAATGTGTCTGTCCTTGAAAGTTTCCACTCCAAATGTAGTGTTGGAATCTGCTCTCCTGGGTTCCTATAGTGGTACTCTTATCCATAGGTAGTTGTCAAAAATCATTGTTTCCATTTGTAGATGAAGACTGGAAACTCCTGCCATTTTACTAATGTCACTCTGCAAGATTAGTATGTTATCTCTATTTGCTCATAATTTACAGGAGAAACCAAGAATGAGTGTGAGACTATGTGTATGCACATTAGAGGGATAAATATGGGGGTGGGGTGGAGAGAGAGAAAAAGAAGGGGAAGGAAAGAAATGCATGATATGATGGCCAAATTTAACAAGTGCTAATTCAATTAGAAGTGGGCACCTGTACCCCTATATTTATGGCAGCACTACTTATAATAGGTAAAACCTGGAAACAACCCAAATGTCCAAAAGTAGATGACTGGATCAAGAAGACGTGGTATATATACACAATGGAATGTTACTCAGCAATCAAAAAAGATAAACTCATGCCATTTACAGCAACATGGATAGAGCTAAAAGGAATTATGCTCAGTGAAATAAGTTAGAAGAAAGGAGAAAAATATCGGATGGTTTCACTTATAGGAGGAATATAGAGGAACCAAATAAGACATCAGTGTTAAAAAAACCCAACAAAACAACAATTATAAGCCAAAGACATCCTGCAGGGGAAGAGGAGGGAGAGGGATCAAAGGGAAGGAGGAAGGAGCACAGGGGACTGAGGTGATGGTGCACGGGTGCCTTGGTGAAGGAAATTCAATAGGGACTACACCTGGGGTGGGGAAGCAAATATTGTTTAAAAAAGAACAATGATGTAAAAAATAAATAATTAAAAATAAATAAATAAATAAATAAAAAGAAGTGGGAAGCAGAGATAGGCATGTTTAAATTCAGTAGGTGGAAAAATGAGGGGGAAAGCAGTCCAGGTAACAAATAATGTGCTTAGAAGCATGAAACTGAATAATTTTGTAGTTCTTTTCTGAGCATGGAATTCATAATTTGCACTGGAACCGAACCTTTGAAGGGAGAAAGGATGCTAGAAAATAATGAAAAAGGCAAGACAGTAGACCTTGACAGTTGATTTTCACAACTGGTTTGATATTCTTGAGACTGGTGATTAGTAATAAGTAAAAAATAGCTTTCGAGTGCAGGTCATCAAGAGTATATGTTGCATCTTAGGGGAAATCTTAAAACTTGTAAAGAGGATTCCTTAAAATATCTTTTGGGAGAACTTACTTGGATGAAGAAAGAGTGTAAACATTTAGACATTGGAACTTAAAACCAAAGTTGGGCATTCAGAGTAAATACTAGGAAAAAGTACTGGAGGGGTTAGGTATAAACAATATCAGAGAGACAAAAAGAAAGATAGCAGTAGGGAGATAGTGCAACTGTGAATTCAAGTGCAATTGAGACCAACTGGGGCATTTCAAATTGAGAATTGAGTACCAGCACATCTGGGATCTATTTTTTGGCAGGGCTCTATAATGGCAGGATATGTTTGAAGCACGTATACCTTAGTTGAGAGTATGGCTCTGGATTCAAACTATTCAGGTAAAAATCCTTCCATAGCACCTATTAATTGTGCTGTCTTGAGAAATTTACTGATACTTCCATCTGATGTTTGATTTGTTCACTGAGATAACAATAATATATATTTCACTGGCTTTAATTGAAGTTTCAATTGAATAGCTTATGTCCATCTCTCAAAGTAGTTATTATACAGCAATTGGTATCCTACTTAACTGGTGTTTTGTTCAAAGAAGAAATAATAACATGAAGTTGTAAAACAATAATGTAATTCTTATCTGTAACTGGTTAGTTTTTCTATATGAATGAAAAATTTTAATCCATTGTCATTTATCAAAATGCTTTTGATCAATAAACTTGATCAAATACCTCTGTAAATCTAACCAAATGTGATAAGAACAGTAAAGCCATCAAAATCTTGGACCCATTGGATATATTTTAGAAATCCAGAGTGCTTAATCTCATTTAATTAAGAATATCTTTCAAATTTGAAACAATTAAGGACATGTGGAAAGATTATATTCTCAATTTTTATGAACTACAATTTTTAGCAGGAATTTCCACATTTAAATTGTTTGTTAAAATTAATTATAAATGTACACTTATTTATTTAGCTATAGGGATTATCCAGAGTATGTGGGAGCAACGTTTCCTGGAAAGATGTGTGTTATCCAGCATTCTGCAGGAATTGTTTTGGTATGTAACTAGTTAATTTTATTATTAAAAAATTATACATTTTAAAATTTCCCAACTTCGTAATATGTATTTTATATGGTTCACATCTATATTTATATTTAAGGATTGCATTTCTTTTCCATTTGAAGTGTGTAGAAGGAAGAGTACTTTATAGAATAATTGTTGCATTATTTGGAAGTTAAACTGGATAAAAAATATCACAAATGTACAATCATTTCTTAATATATAGATTAGTGCATGATGAAAAATGATCTGTAAAGAAATTTCTATAACCCAAATAGACTTTTGCTTATAGATATAAAATTGGAGAAATAGTCTCACAGATAAATGCTTAAAATATAAAGAAATGATCAACCAAAAAGTGTGATAGTTCTTTTTTTAAAAAAAAAATTACTTATTTATGCATACAAGAACTGGGGTACAGGCCAGAGGTGCGGGGGGTGAGAGGATTCACCAGAGACAGAGTGGGGAACAGAACAGACAGACTGACTGAAATACACTGCTGAGGGGAGCAGCGGGCAAGTCAGGAGAGGTCTGCTCCGCCATGTGGGTAGCTCCCTGGCCTGAGATCTAACTCGTGCTGCACTGGCTGTGGATAGCTTCATAGGTTGTGTCTTAACCCCTTGCACTACCAGGGAGGCTCCAAAGTATGACAGTTCTTTAAAATGTTTCAGATCTTCAAAGCACAGTATTTAATAGAACATTTTATGCCTGTTTTGAATACCTTGTGTTATTTATAAATATGATATATGTAAATAAATTACTGGCATAAGTAGATGAGCCATTGAAAGATTATTTTAAAAAACAAGTTTAAGTACTCTACATATTAATTACAAAATTATTATTCACACCAAATTTTCAAGGTACATGTAAGGAAATTCATATAATCTGGCATCTTCCAGTGCAGAAAGGGATAACTACTAGTAGTATTTTGATTGATATGTGCATTCTACTTTGTGTTTTTATTTGTTAATGTGACTCTTTCTCTCTTTATATATTGTTATAAAAATGGGGTTTTTTAGCACATATTTTGTATACCCTAAGTTATTTTTTATTATAGAATTTATGCATGTACATGGTAAAACAGTTTCAAACAAAAATTGATAATAAAATCTTCTCCTTTATCCTTGTCATGTACCCTATTCTAGAATTTATAATTTCAATTCCATTCTTCTGGTAGTTAAATTGGCTTATTTAAAACATATACATTCGTACACCTATTTTGATTTATGAGCATAATGGTAACATTATCTTTGACATATTTAGCCTAACCTATTTGTCATATATATGTCATATATATTTATTATTTTAATATATTTATATTGTTAAAACACATTATATATCACTGCATGATATATTTTATATTATTACTTAGTATATTATTACACTATTATTACATATGTGATTACAGACTGCATTATCATTTAAATAAATTTTTTTATTATATTTTTATTTACTTTTGCTTGATTTTCATTTTTTCAAAATAAAATTTGACACAGAAAGTTTAAAAAGAATAATAATCCACCTATGATATCAAACAAACTACACTATGTAACAAAAAAATCAATAGAGTAAAATGAAGTTACTTCAGAAAAATAAAAACCAATATATTCAAAAACAAATAATAGCTATAAACTTATGTACACATACTAATCACAGCAAACATATTTTTACCAAATTAGCAAGAAGATAATGACAATCCACAGAATGGGAGTTTCACACTCCTAGCCACAGAAAAAAAAAAAAAACAGACAAAATGTTGTAAAGATATAGAAGATTTCAACAGCACAATGAACAAACTTTGTCTACTGGTCACATAAAACATGTTATATCTCATAGAATATGCATAATAATTACAAACTGACCAACATTTTAGAATTCAAAACATATAAAAAATGAAAAACCATTGTCATCATATAGAACATGAGATTAAATTAAAAATTATTATACCTCTTTCCCTTTTTAAAACTGAGCTAACATTGATTTATAACACTGCATGTGATTCAAAGTGATAGGATCACATCTGAGATACATGTCACCATACCATACCCACAATCAAAACACCCTTCTCCCCCAGCACCAAGTCCTTTGTGCTCTCTCCCCATTTTATTCCTGACATCCCATCCCATAATGTCAATTCTAGGGTTTGTTAATGGTTTGGTTGTTTCTTAGTCTTTTTTTCTCTATATTCTACGTATAAGTGAAACCATCCAGTATTTGTCTTTCTCCTTCTGAGACTTACTTTGCTTAGTATAATCTCTTCCAGTTCCATCCATGTTGATATAAATAGCAAGAGTTCATCTTTTAAATTTTTTATGCTGTTAGTATTCCATTGTGCATGTACACCACATTTTTTTAATCCAGGTCTCTGTCCTTGGGCATGAGGTTGTTTCCATAGCTTGGCTATTGTAAATAGGGCTACAATGAACATAGGAGTGCCTCTATCCCTTTGAATTAGTGTTTTTGCATTCTTCAGGTTGAAACCTAGCAGTGAAATTGCTGCATCATATGGTAGATTTATTTTGAATAGACTGTGAAACCTCCATACTGTTTTCCATAGGGACTAGACCAGTATACAATCCAGATAAAAAATCCTTTGTCAAAGATTAGTTGTCCATAAGTCTGTGGGTTTATTTCTGGGTTTTCTATTAGATTCCATTGGTCACTGTGTTTTTTTTTCCCAGTACCATGCAGTTTTTTTTTTTTTTATAGAGGCATGTTTTATTTATTTGTTTGTTTGTTTGTTTGTTTGTCTGTTTGTTTGTTTGTTTATACATGCACTGGGTACAGTCAGAAGCTCAGGAGGGTGAGAGAATTCACCAGAGCCAGAGCGGGGAGCAGAGCAGGCAGAAGGACCGAAGTACACTGCTGAGGGGAGCAGCGGGCGGCAGGAGAGGTCTGAGCGCCATGTGGGACCCTCCTCTGGTGGCCGGGGAGCAGCCGGGGATCGAACTGGTGCTGCAGAGGCTGCGGGCATCTTCGCAACCCAGCGCTCAACCGCTGCGCCACCGGGGAGGCCCACCATGCAGTTTTAATTATTATGGTTTTGTAGTATAATTTGAAATCAGGGCATGTGATTCCTCCATTTTCCTTTTTAGTCAGGAGAACTTTGGCTATTCAAGGTTTTTGTGGTTCCATATGAATTTCATCAATATTTGTTTTATTTCTTAAAAGAATGTTATTGAAATTTTTAGCAGAATAGCATTGAATCTGTAAATTGCTTTTGGTAGGATGGCCATTTTAATAATGTTAATTCTTCCAATCCATGAGCAAGAGATGTCTTTCCATTTCTTTGTGTCTTCTGTTTCTTTTGACAATGTCTTATAATTTTCTTTGTATATATCCTTCACCTCTTTTGTTAGGTTTATTCCCAAGTATTTGATTTTTTTTGATTCAATTATAAAAGGGAGGGTTTTCTTAATTTCTTCTTCTTCAGGTTGATTGTTTTCATATAGGAAGACTACTGATTTGCATGTGTTGATTTTGTATCCTGCTACTTTACTAAACTGGTTGATGATTTTGATTAGTTTTTCTGTGGAGTTTTTAGGATTCTCTCTACATATTATCTATCATCTGCAAATAGTGGCAGTTTTACATCTTCTTTCCCTATTTGGATTCCTTGTATGTATTTCTCTTGTTTTATTGCTCTGGCTAGGCCTTCCAGTATTATATTGAAAAGTAGTCATGAGGGCGGATATCCTTGCCTGTTCAAGATCTTAGGGGAAAGGCTTTCAGCTTTCCACTATTGAAGATAATACTGGCTATGGATTTGTTGTATATGGCTTTTATTATGCTAAGGTATCTTCTTTCTATCCCAAGGATTTCAAGGGCCTTCATCATAAATGGATGTTGAACTTTGTTGAATGCTTTCTTAGCATTTATTGATATGATCATATGGTTTTTCTTTTTCTTTTTGTTGCTATATTGGATTACATTAGTTGATTTCCAGATGTTGAACCATCTGTATGTCCCTAGAAAAATCCAACTTGGTCATAATGTATTATATATATATATTTTTTTTTAAAGATTTATTTATTTATGCATATAAGAACTGGGGTACAGGCCAGAGGTGTGGGTGGTGAGAGGATTCACCAGAGACAGAATGGGGAACAGGACAGGCAGATTGACTGAAATACACTGCTGAGGGGAGCAGCAGGTGAGTCAGGAGAGGTCTGCTGCGCCATGTGGATAGCTCCCTGGCCGGGGCTCAAACTCATGCTGCAGTGGCTGCAGATAGCTTCATAGGTTGTGTCTTAACCCCTTGCGCCATCAGGGAGGCACATAGTGTATTATACTTTTTTATTTTATTTTATTTTATTTTTAAGATTTTTATTTATTTGTTTGTTTGTTCATTTATTTATTTATTTATTTATTTATTTATTTATTTATTTATTTGTTTATTTATTTATTTATTTATACAAGCACTGGGTACAGTCAGAAGCACGGAGGGTGAGTGAATTCACCAGAGCCAGAGCGGGGAGCAGAGCAGGCAGAAGGACCGAAGTACACTGCTGAGGGGAGCAGCGGGCGGCAGGAGAGGTCTGCGCACCATGTGGGACCATCCTCCGGTGGCCTGGACCAGCCGGGGATCGAACTGGCGCTGCAGAGGCTGCGGGCAGCTTCGCAACCCAGCGCTCAACCGCTGCACCACCGGGGAGGCCCCATAGTGTATTACACTTTTGATGCATTGTTGGGTTCTGTTGGCTAAGATTTTGTTGAGGATTTTTGCATCAGTGTTCATAAGAGAGATTGGGCTGTAGTTTTCTTTTTTTTGCATTGTCCTTGTTTGGTTTTGGTATTAGTGTAATGTTAACTTTATAAAACATTGTTGGTGTATTTCTTCCTTCCCTATTTCTTGGAAGAGTTTGTATACAATAAGCACTAGTTTGTTTCTGAACGTTTGTTAGAATTCAATTCATTTGTGAAAGCTTCAGGTCCTGGGCTTTTGTTTTTGGGGAGTGTTTTGATTACTGTTTCAATTTCACTGCTTGTAATTGGTCTATTTAGGTGTTCTTTTTCTTCTATTTTGTTTTGGATGATTGTATAGTTCTAGGAATTTGTCCAACTCTTCTAGATTGTTGAACATATTTGCATCTCACTGTTCATAATCTCTGATTATGCTTTTGGTTTCTGCTGTGTCTATTATAACTTCTCCTCTTTCATTTATGATCCTATTTGTGTTTTCTCCCATTTTTCCTTTGTGAGCCTGACTTGAGGTTTGTTGATTTTGTTTATTTTTTCAAAGAACCAACTTTTGGTTTCATTGATCTTTTGGATTGCTTTTTTAATTTTTATTTCATTTATTTCTGCTTTGATTTTTATTACTTCCTTTCTTATACTGGATATTGGGGTTTTTTGTTGTTATTTTTCTAATTCTTTGCGATTGGAGATTAGGTTGTTTGAGTTCTTTCTTGTTTCTTGATTTGAGTCTGTATTGCTATATACTTTCCTCTTATTATTGCTTTTGCTGTGTCCCATGCAATCTGGAAAGTTGTGTCCTCATTGTTGTTCCTCTCTAAGTATTTTTAACATTTTCTTTGATCTTCTCATTAATCCAGTGGTCTTCCAGTACTGTGTTTCTGTCTCTGTGACGTAGGAGGGTACCTTGCTTTCTTTTAATGATTTATTTCTAGTTTGATGCCTTTATGATCAGGGAAGATAGTTGGTATGATTTTGATCTTAATGTATCTGTTGAGGTTTGTCTTGTGTCCCAGTATGTAATCAATCCTGGAGAATGATCTGCGTGCACTTGAGAAAAATGTGTACTCAGATTTTTTGGGTGCAGCATCCTATAGATGTCTGTTAAGCCCATGATGCCTAGGTCCTTATGTAGAGCTCTAGTTTATTGTTTATTTTCTACCTCTTGTTTATTTTTTTTGTCTTGTTGATCTGTCAATTGGTGTAAGTGGGGTGTTGAAATCTACTACATATGTATTTTCTCTAATATCTGTTTTAAGGGTACTAATAATTGTCTGGTATATTTTGGTGCTCCTTCATTTGGGGAGTATATGTTGATGAGTGTTATGTTTTCTTGACGTATTGTCCCCTTAATCATAATGTAGTGACCGTCTATGTCTCTTTTTACCTTTTTTAGTTTGAAGTCTATTTTATCCTATATAAGTATAGCTGTTCCTGCCTTCTTTTTTGAGACTTTTGCTTGTAGGATTGTTTGCAGCCTTTGCTTTCAATCTATGTTTATCTTTTGTACTTAAATGAGTTTCCTATAGACAGCAGAAGGTTGGGTTCTGTTTTTTAAAAAATCTAGCCTGCAACTCTGTGTCTTTTTATTGATTGAGTTTAGTCCATTATATTTAGAGTTAATATTGATACACTGGTATCCATATTTACCTTTTTGTTTGCCTATTTGTGATTCTATTCCTTACCTTATTCTGTTCTTCCAATTCATTTCTCTGTTGGTTTTGGCTTTAGGGCTACTTGTAGTAGTTTTTGGAGTGTGGGTTTAGTAGTAATGAATTTCTGAAGATTGTTTGTCTGAGGAGCTCCTTATTTTTCCTTCATAGAGGAAGGAGAGCGTTGCAGGGTAAAGTATTCTTGGTTGACATTTGTTGACCTGGAGTTTGTTAATATGTCACTCCATTCTCTTCTTACCTGTATTGTTTCTTCAGAGAAATCTGATGTCATTTGATTGATTTTTCCTTTATAGGTTATCTGTTTCTTTGCCCTCATCATTTTCATTATTTTTTCCTTGTCTTAGACTCTTGGAAACTTTACTATTATCTGTCTTGCTGTAGTTTTCCCCTTTTTCAGGGTAATTTCCTTTTTTGTGGTAATTTCTGGCTTCCTTTATATTTATTGTCATTTCCTTCTTCATGTTTCGGAAGTTCTCTTCCTTGATTTCTTAGTCTCTCTCCTTACCTTTTTGGGATTACTATGACTCTAGTATTTCCTTTCCTCATGGTGTCAGGTAGTTCTTAAATTGTTTCTTCATTCTTTTTCCTTTGTACTTCTCTTTCCTTTTCTTTTTTGGCTCTTTTTATGTCTGTGTCTAGAAGAGTACTGATTCATTCTTCTGTTTCTTCTGTTTTCATGGTTTTCCCCAGAATTCTGAGCTTCTCTACTAATTTTTGGATATTTTTCACTTCCTTCAATTTCTTCTTTAGGGATTCATTCTTATTCCTCAATTCATTGTTTGTATTTTTTTCCCCTTTCTACATTTTCTCTTAATTCTTGTATATATAGATATTTATTTATTTATGCATACAAGAACTGGGGTGTAGGCCAGAGGTGTGGGGGAGGGGGGGTGAGAGGATTCACCAGACAGAGTGGTGATCAGAACAGATGGATCTATTGAAATATACTGCTGAGGGAAGGAGACAGGAGAGGTCTGCTGCACCATGTGGGTTAGCTCCCTGGCTGGGGATGGAACTCATGCTGCAGTGGCTGGTGACAGCTTGATAGCACTGAGACTTTAACCCCTACACCAGGGGAGGCCCCACCTTTCTTTTAATTCTGTAAGTGTTTTCATTGTGGCAATTCTGAATTCTTTTTCTGCCAGGCAGAGATATTCTTCTGTGTTCATATTATTGGGTTCTGGAGGTTGACTTTCTTTCTATGGTGTATTGTTCCCAGAAGGGCCATTTTGATTGCTTGTATTTTTCTTTCTTCCTATTGTTTGCCTTTGGTTTTGCTCTGTTCATAATGCCCCATTACCACTGGTGCTGGCGGGCATGATGTCTGGTGCTGAGGCCTAGATGTGTATGCCTGGTATGTGAGTCACTGTGGCTGGTGAGTAGAGGTGTAGGTGGGGGTTCTTGTATTTCCCCCCCTGTTGTCTTCAGCTGTACCCCAGCTCTAGACAGGTGGTACTTCCTGTTGCTCTTCCTAGGGTGTTGGGGGCAACTGGATTTGGAAGTTGGGGGTTCCTGCAGTTCCCACTTGGGTACATGTCTAGGCACTCTTCTATTGTGGTAGATGTTGTTTTGAGCTGTGATTTGCTACAGGAGCCCTTGCTTTTTTGGTCCCCACTATGTAGAATGGGATCTAAAGTCTCAGCCTGTGGTAGTCAAGAGTCTCTTGTGGACTGCTGTACCTCCAGACACATGCTGCGGCCAAGTCCACTGGAAGGTGTTTCTAGGTTGGGTAGAATGTACTCTGCTGAGCTGCTAGGTTCCTCTAGGCGTGTCTTGGAAAAATACAGGACTCCAAAGAGAATAAGGAGTGACAAAAGAGAGAAGAGGAAAAAAAAGGGTGATAAGGAAATGTAAAAGGGATAAAGGCAGGGGAAGAATAAAAGGGACAAGGTAGGAAAAAGGAGAAGGGAGAGGAGGGGAAGCAACAGAAAGAGAAGAGAAAATAGTAATAATAATGTTAAAGGGGAGAGAGGAGAAAACTAGAGTAAACAGAAAACAGAGGTAGTAAAGAGTGAGAGGCACAACACTCAACCAAATGACCCATAAACAAACAAACACTCTCACAGGCTGGGGGAGAGTTGCTTCTCTGGCCTTTGATGGCTCCCAGTGAGCTAGCATCGCTGTTTTAGTCTGTTCCGCTGGGGGGCGCCGGAGGGCTGTGCGGGATCGTCTTCCCAGGGCTGCTCTCGGCCTTGTGGTGTGTGGAGGGAGGATAAAGAAAGAGCACTGAGTGCGAGGTGTAAACTGTGGCATGTCCACCAGTCTCTGACAGTGTCCACTGCAGATGCGGGTGTGGGAGGGTCGGCACTCTGGGTCGCTGAGGTAGTTGGGCAAGGGCGGGGGCTCTTGAGGCCTCCTTCCACCTGTGGTCTTGGGGTCTCTAGTGGCCCCCAATGTAGGGACTAGCCCCGTGAGGCGCCATCTGATCCCCTCCCGCTGGCTGGTAGGTGCGACCCCTGAAGGGTGTGTCCTTCCTGGAGGCACCTCGGGGACAGCCTCCGGGTTTCCGGGGAGGTGGTTAGTGATGTAGTTCTGATCACTAGTAAACTTAGTAAACTCTGGTAAACTTCCAGAACTGCGCTGTTCCCGCCGTCTCTGGAAAAAGGCGGGAGGTGGAGGGGGTTTGGGGGGCGCTGGGGGAGGTGGGTTAGGAGGCGCCACAACTGAGGAGCTGGCACCCAGCGCTGTGCGCCCACCCCGCGGCCTGGTTTCCCCCCTGGCACTTTCCGGAGTTCTCCGAGGTCTCAGGATTCTCCCGTGGCCTCCAAAACGCCTCGCTTCCTTTTCTGCTGGGTGGACTGGGCCGGCCTCGCGGGTGGTGGGGGAGGATTCTAGATCTATGATTTTCTCCCCTCCCTTCCCCTGGCGTTCCCACCTTCCCTCTGCCTCTGCGCGGGTCGCCAGTGTCCCCAACTTTGTCCAGCACGTCTGGGTCCTACCAGGAACCCGTAACTGCTTCTCCCCATCAGTTGTTTTCATGGGAGAATTTAATCCTAGTGTCCCTTCGCCTCCATGTTGGTGATGTCTTCTGTGACTTTTCCTGACACCAGTTAATTGTGTCAAAATCTTGCAGGAAGCAGAGAGCAAACTTAAACTGAACTATTTGGTTATATGACCAATTTGTGAGCTGGGGAGGCAGGGTATCATGTAGGCTCCTAAATGAATATGAGAGCTGTTTATAAGAAATTAGGTAAGTTTAAAGTCATGATCCATATAGCAAAAAAAGTCTAATACAAAAAACAGTGCTTTTATACCAGTATGGTAGCTACTTAGAAATGATGCTAGGCATGCTGTTGTTACATTGGGGCAAAACTGGGCATAGATTCAATATGCTTTTATCTCAGAAAATTTCATAGGAAGAGCTTTAGTTCTCACTTGTCTAAAGAACATTTGTTTATTTTAAAGTATTGGAATAAAAAATGTTAGAATTATAAAAATAATACCACTTTTCAATGAATCACTTTTCATTTGAATTTTCTTTTTTGTTAATGTAGTATACCAAGAGGATAACTTTAGAGGCATTTTCAGTTATTGTCACTCAGATGCTGGGACTCAGTCTTGGACTATCATATGATGATCCAAAGCAATGTCAATGTCCAGGAGTCATTTGTGTAATGAATCCAGAAGCTATGTAAGTTTTTAAAAAAATAAGGTTTTGTTATTGGTTGTTTTACTTACAACCAATATTTGAAGTGTGAATACTTATAGTATTAATTAGCTATAAATGGACCAAGGAATAGAAAATAGAAACAAAATTTTAAGTATAAAAAGAGTATGGAGGGAACTGTGCCATTAAGAACAGTGAGTGATAACAAATTTACTTTATTAGATACATTAGCAAAGGGATTTTCCTTAGCTGTGTATTTTATGAAATGATTTAGTAAGGATCTCTGAGAATATGTCACTGGCCAAAACAAGTAGCCTTTGTTTTTATTTATTTATTTTCTATTTTATTTTTATTTATATATTTTTTACATCATTGTTCATTTTTAAACAATGTTTGCTTTTTTTTTTTCTTTCCCCTCAGGTGTAGTCCCCATAGAGTTTCCTTGCTTAGATTAATTTTAGATTAATTATCTTGCTTAGATTAATTTTTCTAGTCTTTAAAATAGGAGTGCTTATGCCTATTCTCTTACTTCACAGAGTGCTATAAAAATAAAATGAGAAGATAAAATGTGAAATAATTTTCAAAACTGTAAAATCTCATGAGTATGTGATGGATTAGTTAAATATTTGTCAATATTCCCCAATTAGTATCTGAAACAAAGGCTACAGGAGGTGTCATTGGTACTATTTTTTTTTAATTTGTGGAAAGGACCTATATTAAGTATGACGTATATTCATAACTAAACAATGAAAAGTGAAAAAGGCATTAACTTTGAAAATTTGCTCGTTTCATAATCACTCCTAAGCAGTATTTAAGGGTTAACTTATATAAAATTTAAAACTTGCTTAAACTCACACACATATACATATATATACACATATGCACACATATACCACCAATTAGTTCTAAGCATATTACATGTAAGTAATATTATGTGTGTAAATATATATATATATAATTTTATTAAATGTATTGAATTAAAATATATGCTTATTGAATCCAATATATAACTTATATAGAGATGAATTATATGAGAATTTACAATTCTGAATCTATTGTCCATTTTGCCAACTATTCTCAATTATGCTGTAATAGATATTTGCATAGGCCACTGAGAATCTAGTATTAATAATAATAATAATAACAAATATTTGCATTGCACTTATTTTGTGCTAGAGATCATCCTGAACACTTACATATATTAATTCATATGATTCTCAAAACCTATCTAAAGGAAAGGTCCTTTTATTCCCATTTTTACAAATGAGAAACAGAGTTAGAAAAGGGATAGTTATCCATGGTGAAATAGTTAATTTTTGGCAGACCCAAGTTTTGAACCCAGGGATTCTGGTTTTTGAATCTATGTCAATAAACTTCTAGATTTATATAGTGCTTTATAATATTTAAAATGCTTTTATACATATTGTCCAACTTATAATTGGCTATAATTAGTTCAAAGTCAAAATATTATACAGTTTTTTAAATTTATTTTTTTTCCCCTTACACTGTTGTTGTCCCCACAGTTCTCCCACCACTATATCACCTGGGCATCATCACTATATTCCCTTGTGTTCCTCCCTCTCCCTGTTTCTTTTTTTTTTAATATATATATATATATATTTTTTTTTTTTTTTTAGAGGCATGTTTTATTTATTTATTTATTTGCTTGTTTGTTTTCTTTATACATGCACTGGGTACAGTCAGAAGTGCGGGAGGGTGAGAGAATTCACCAGAGCCAGAGCGGGGAGCAGAGCAGGCAGAAGGACCGAAGTACACTGCTGAGGGGAGCAGAGGGCGGCAGGAGACGTCTGCACGCCATGTGGGACCCTCCTCCAGTGGCCGGGGAGCAGCCGGGGATCGAACCGGCGCTGCAGAGGCCGCGGGCAGCTTCACAACCCAGCGCTCAACCGCTGCGCCACCAGGGAGGCCCCCTCCCCCTGTTTCACCGCCCCATAAATGTAAATGTATAGGAGGTGACATATAGTCTGGAGTTATTTCCTCTCCTCATAGGACTGAGACCTAGTCTTTGAGCCCCAGATACCCTTCACTCCTCCACCTGCCACCAAGGTGAAAAAAGAAGAGAAACAAACAAAAACTAAGTCTTTAGCACCCCAACTACAAAAAAAAGCAAATAAGACAACAAATGTGTAGGAAGTAAGGAACATCTAAGAATGAAGCTTGACTACTACCTCACACCATGCACAAAAACCAACTCAAAATGGATTAAAGAACTACACATAAGACCTGAAACTATAAAATATATAGAAGGAAATATAGGCAAAACACTACATGACATGCACCTCAAAGACATCTTTACAGACACATCACCCAAAGTAGTGATAGTGAAGGCAAAGATAAACAGCTGGGACTACATCAAATTAAAGAAATCAAAACTACAATGAGATACCATTTTACACCAGTGAGAATGGCACATATTAAAAAAAAACTAGCAACAACAAATGTTGGCGAGGATGTGGATGTGGAGAAAAAAGGAACTCTCCTGCGCTGCTGGTGGGAGTGCAAAATGGTCCAACCACTATGGAAAGCTGTGTGGAGATTCCTCAACCTACTAAAGATGGAGCTTCCATATGATCCAGCAATTCTACTCCTAGATATTTACCCAAAGGACTAAGAAACATTAATTCAAAAGGGCACCTGCACCCCTATGTTCATAGCAGCACTATTTACAATAGGTAAGCAATGGAAACAACCCAAATGCCCAAAAACAGATGACTGGATCAAGAAGATGTGGTACATATACACAATGGAATATTACTCAGCAATCAAAAAAGACAAACACATGCAGTTTGCAGCAACATGGATGGAACTGGAAGGGATCATGCTCAGTGAAATAAGCCAGAAAGAAAAAGAAAAATATCAGATGATCTCACTCATAGCAGGAATTTAGAAAAAACTAAATAAGGGACCAGGAAAAAGACTAATCATATAAAGAAAAATCAAAAGCAACAAGCAGCTATAAACCAGAGACATAGTAATGGGGGTGGGGAGAAAGAGGAGGGATCAGGGCCAAAATAAGGTGGTTGGGAATTGTACGGGGAATATAACCAAAATGAAAATGCATGCACTGTGCAAAAATGAAAAATGATGTAAGAATTATATAAAATAAAATATTAAAAAATAAAACAAAAAAATAAACGTATATCATCATTGTTTTTCTGTGAGCAATAATTTGTAGGCAATCACACACACAAAAATACAGTTTTTCTCTTTGGTAGATATATTTGTAATGCATGTAAGATTAAAATTGATGTGTTCTTAATTTATTCTTGTGATGGGAATACTTGATACTTTTGAAATATGTAAGATATTACTGTTAACTATAGAGACTGTTGTAGAATGAATTTTTAGAATTTATTCATCTTGCGTAAGTGAAACTCCATATTCATTGAACAACCCCGTTTTCCCTAGCTTCTGCAACTACCATTCTACCCTCTGTACTTTTGAATATGACTGTTTTAGCTATCTCGTGTAAGTGAAATCAGGCAGTATTCATCTTTCTGTGACTGGCTTATTTCACTTAGCATTATTATGACCTGGAAATTCATCCATGTTGTTGCTTATGCAGAATTTCCTTTTTTTAAAAGGCAAAACAATATTCCATTGCACATACATTCTACACTTCATTTACCTAAACATCAGTCACTAGACATATAGTTTGCCTCCATATCTTTGCTACCATGAATAAAGCTATAGTGAACAAGGGAGTATAGATTTCTTTTTGAGGTTCTGATTTTAATTTTTTTGATCTGTATCAGAAGTGGAATTTCTGGGTTATAAGGTCATTCCATTTTAGATTTTCTGAGGAATCTCTCTACTGTTTTCCAATTTATATTCCCACCAACAGTGTATTAGAGTACCAATTTCTCTATATTCCAGTCAACAGGTAACTTTTTTTAATGACTGTCTCAACAGGTATGAGGAAATAGCTCACTGAGTTTTGATTTGTAATTCTCAGATAATTAGTAATGTTGAACACCTTTTCACGTATTTGATGGCCTTTTATATCTCTGTCTTTGGAGAAATGTCTATTCAAGTCTTTTGTCTGTTTTCTAATTGGATTGTTAATTTTTTGATACTGAGTTGTACTAATTTTTGTACTAAATTTTAATAAGGACATATATTCCAGTGAGTAAAAATCACATGTCCTTTCAAGAGTGATTTTAGCTTGTATTTGTTTTTAAACATTTATGTTAACTACTACATTTAACATTTTGAAATTAATTTGTGTAACAAAGAACTGTGCATATAGAAGTATTCTGTTAATGACATTATATGGATTCATGTTTAGGCAATTCAGTGGTGTGAAGATGTTTAGCAGTTGCAGTTTGAATGACTTTGAAAATTTTATTTCAAATATGGGTGCCAAATGTCTGCAGAATAAGCCACAAATGCAACGTGCTCCGAAGCAAGTCTGTGGCAATGGCAGAGTGGAGGGAACAGAAAGCTGCGACTGTGGTAATTTTACAGTAAGTCTGTTAACTAGGAATTGATTAATAAATTTATTGTTTCAGTTAATCTCTTTTCTCTAGCGCTATACATCTCAAATATGACTGAATACCATATAGAATATTGGCAGTAAAGGAAATCAGGCTCAAATACATGTAAGACTATTCTGTCTAAATTTTATAGATTGAGGCTTTTAAAGTAAATATAAAATGTGCTCCAAGACAAGATTCCTGATGGGAAAAAAGAGGAGTCCAACGTAACCTTCTAGATTCCAAACCTGTGCTTGATCTTATAAATGTCTTATTGAAGATTAGTATGTCAACAGACCACCGAGTATTCTTAGTATTACACCACATTGGAATCAGTAGTATGGTGAGAGAAGATTGTGTTAATATTAGTCTGAAATTTGGGTGTTTTGGGATGATTTACTTTATAGGGAAGCCCTGAAAAATGTAATTGTTTTATGCCACAGTAATTTCTTTGCCTCCCACCCCCAGTAGTATTTAATTGTTTGGATATATCAAAATCTGTTTCCATTCCCCTGCTAGTGGACAGTTGAGTTGTCAGCAGCATTGAATCATTATGCTGAATTCCTAAAAGAAGGATTTCTGAGTCATGTGATAAGTGTATGTTTGTAACAAACTTTATCCTAAGTGGTTGTATCATTTTACACTCCTCTCATTAACATATAAACTTTTTATATCCCCCATATCCTTTCCAGAATTTGATAATGTCAGCCCTTTAAATATTAGGCATTCCAATGGTTTTGATTTGCATTTTTTGATAACTGTACCAATGTTGAACATGTTCTTATGTCCTTATTGGCTATTTGTTGTTTGAAAAATTTTTTCATACCTTTTAAAAGTTGGTTTTCGTTATTATTGATTTATAAGATTTTATTTTGGGCCTCCCCGGTAGTGCAGAGGTTGAGCGCTGGGTTGCGAAGCTGCCTGCAGCCTCTGCAGCGCCGGTTCGATCCCCAGCTGCTCCCCGGCCACCGGAGGAGGGTCCCGCAGACCTCTTCTGCCGCCCGCTGCTCCCCTCAGCAGCCTTCTGCCTGCTCTGCTCCCCACTCTGGCTCTGGTGAATTCTCTCACCCTCCTGCGCTTCTGACTGTACCCAGTGCTTGTATAAATAAATAAATAAATCTTAAAAAAAAAAGATTTTATTTTATAGGTTGGATATCAGTTCTTATTTATGTTTATTAGAAATACTTGTTTCCAACATATGGATTGCCTTTTCAGTTTCATCAACATTTTTGAATCGTAGGCATATTTTATTTTTATTATTCTTTTCTTCTTTGGTTATGCTCTTTGTGTCCAAAGAAATCTTTGCTTGTCCAAGGTCATGAATATTTTCACCTATGTTTTTTACTACAAGTTATACAATATGTCTTTCACTCTATTTTGAGTTTGCTTTTGTGTTTGGTGAGAGATTTATTGTAGGTTTATTAACCTCCATATGAATATCAAATTTTTCTAGCAGTATTTGTAAAAGTGGCTATCTTTTCATCATTGCATTATCTTAGCATCCTTATGAAAATAAATTACCAGACATGTATGTGTATCCCTGGATCTTTTTTTAATTTATATGTCTGTCCTTATGCCAATTCCACTCTGTCTTACTTAATGTACATATTATAGTAAGTGTTGAAAACATAGTGTAGATAACTGAACTTTGTTCTTTTTCAGGATACTCTTGCTATCCTAGGACTTTTGTATTTTCATATAAATTGGAGAATCAGTATGTGTATGTAGGAATTTTGCTATATCTATATACCAGTTTTGGGAGAATGACTATCTTACCAGTTTTGAATCTCTCAATCTAGGCACACTATTTCCATATCTTCCCTCCCTCCTTTTTCAGTATTATATTGATTATTCTGGGTCTTTTGCCTCTCCATACAGATTTTAGAACCAGTTTGTCAATATTCACAAAACAGCTTTCTGGAATTTTGATTGGAATTGCATTGAATTTATAGATAAAGCTTTATATAGTAACATTTTATGTAATAACTGTTAAGAGTTTGTCAAGTGATTTTTCTTTTTTTTAAGATTCATTTTATTTATTTATGCATACAAGAGCTGGGGTGTAAGCCAGGTGTGTGTATGGGGGGGTGAGAGGATTCACCAGAGACAGAGTGGGGAGCAGAACAGGCAGAATGACTGAAATACACTGCTGAGTGAAGCAGCAGGTGAGATAGGAGAGGTCTGCTACACCATGTGGGTTATCTCCCTGGCCGGGGATTGAACTCATGCTGCAGTGGCTGCAGATAGCTTCATAGAGCTGTGTCTCAACCCCTTGTGCCACCAGGGATGCCCTCAAATGCTTTTTCTACATCAATTGTTACAGTCTTATGATTTTTCTTACCATCCTATTGATATCATTGATTATGTTAATTGATGTTTGTGTGATGAGCTAGCCTTGTATACTGGGGATACATTTCACTTGGTTGTGGTATAATATTCTTTTTATATGTTGTTGGTGTGATTTACAAATATTTTATTAAGAATTTTGTTACCTATGTTTATGAGACACACTAGTCTCTCATAAATTTTCCTTTATTGTAATGTCTTTGTCTGGTTTTGCTATTAGAGTAATAATGGCCTCATAGAATGAACTAGGTAGTTGCATCCATCAATGCTAGGAAAATAATGTGTCTGTTTCCATGGGGTGAAGGCAATTGGAATTTCATGTTTAGTGCTTTTCCTGGATTCTGTCCTTAGTACTTCTTCTTTTGACTGATTTAAGTTTGTATCCTATACCTATAATAAATCATAACTGTAAGTGTAATAGCTTTCAGTGAGGTCTATGAGTGCTTCTAGTATATTAGCAAATATGGGATTGGATTTTGGAATCTGCTAAACTTGTGATTGATATAAGAAATCAAGACAGTCTTGGGGATTGTTTCCTCTAACTTTGCTTAAACTCTGCACACTCTTCTCTCCCCCATCCCCTAAGTTTTATTTAGGTCCTGTTGAAAAATAAGATTTGTATATATTTACAATGTACAACTTGAAAATTTTGATATTTGTATTAACATACCCATCATCTCACATAGTTATACATTTTTTGGTGTCTCTTGTGAGAAAACTTCACCTGTCCTCTTAGAAAGTTTTCAGTATTACAAATATAATGTTCTTAACTATAGTTAGTATGCTGTACATTATATCCTGAGAAGTATTTCATCTTCTAAATAAAAGTTTGTACCCTTTGATCAATAGATCCCTTTTCTTCCCATTCTCAAGGCTTTGGTAGCTAGCCATCATTCTACTCTGTCATTATTATCCAATTTCTGAAAATATTTGTTTCATCTTTTTTTTTGCCCAGTGTTTTAATTAAATAGAGAATTGGTAGGGTGCCAGTTGCTCTGTTTTGACCTGAAGTAAAATTCCTGCCTTGGTATATTAATTGTTTAATTGTTTAGAGATGCAAAAGTCAACAAATGTCAACAGTATGCATAATCTTATCCTTCCACAGAACTAAAAATGCCCAGTTAATATAACTGCTTCCAAAGTTTATAGTACTGTCATGATGTATTTTTACTTGTGCATTCCTCATCATAGCAATGTGCAGGTAATATCTGTTGTGACCCTCGGACTTGTAAGCTGAAACCTGGAGCAGAATGTGATGGAGGACTGTGCTGCAAGAAAGACTGTAAAGTATGATTTAAGTTTTTAATACCTTCCAAATTATGTCAGGGATTCTTTAGAACTCTTGGACCTATATCTGCGAGTCAAAATAAATGAACTTTCAAATAAAATCAGAATCAGTTTCTGATTTTATGAACTTTAATTTGGTCATGGGTCTCCTTCTAATGCCATTATTCTCCCTGACTTGTTGCTGTCATTTTTAAGCCCTGTTTGAGTGCAATTATAGATTTCTTCAATATAGATGATTCCTATTAAAAGGTACTATTTTAGTTCACACTATCCAGTATTTATATTTTTTTTTAATAAAAATGTTTCCCTAAGTGGGATAATGAAACTCACTAGAAGTAAAACTTTCCAAATGCTGCAGTGTTAGTACAAAAGTCAAGCTATTAACTTACTATGCAAGGTCATTTGACTGAAAGATATTTTAATGGCTCCTGTCACTGTCTTCATTTGATTTTAGTGTCAAGTAGAAGTCATCAAGTAGTGTGAGAACCCAATACGATTCTTTATACAGATTTTCAGAATTGTATACATAGAGTATTAATGAATTAGAGTATTCAGGAAAAAGGTTACAACTGAGTTCTTTTTCTCCAAAGACTTGTGTAGTTGAAATGCTTCCTTAATCACTTGTTGGTTTCCCTTTTTTAATTCTCAATTACTTATGTTTCACATCTGTCATAGAAAAACAAATATTTCAGATTTACAAACTGGTTTGAATAAGTATATTTTCTTTGGAACTTGTCAAGTAACACACTGTTTTCATCAAAAATAATAATTATCCCAAGCTAAAAGTGATTTTTCCTCTCTTGCACTGAAACACAAAAAAAACTTTGACATTCCTCACATCATTTTTGTGTCATAGTTTTCCTTGCACATATATTTTATCTCCTGTTTTAGTTGATAATATTCAAATTTTAAAAATAATTAGTATAATGCTTTATATAAAGAAACTAATAGCCATTATTGAAGAAATAAAGTATAAATGAATTTAATATAATATTGAAATTAATATTGATAAGCACAGCATTCTTATGTATAGATAATGCTTTTTTTTTTTTGTATTCTAATTTCTGTTAGTTTCAAAGTTCAGGATTTGAATGTAGGCCCACAGCGCATCCTGAATGTGATATTACTGAATATTGTAATGGAAGCTCAGGCAACTGTCAGCCTGATATAACTGTACATAATGGACATTTGTGCAAAAAAGGAAAATTCATGTGTTATGATGGAGAGTGCCATGATCTTGATGCACGTTGTGAGGCCATATTTGGAAAAGGTATATGATTCTGTAACATCTAAATAGTTCTTAGCATTTTTACTAACATTACGAAGGCTATGGGCAATTCTTTATTAATATATAGAATTAAAATTTTCTCTATATACAAGTTATTCTCTTTCACGTCTGTTTTTTCAAATTTAGTATGCTATAATATGATTCATTTATTATTATTTATATATATTTGCATCATTATTCATTTTTGTACAGTTTACTTTCTCCTCTCAGGCATAGTCTCCATAAAATTCTCAGAAGCAAGTCACCTGTGAACTGCCATCATAGTCTCTTGTGCTCTTTCTGCCCCTATTTTAATCTGTCTTCCTCCTTCTCCCCTGCAGAATGTCTCCGATTAATAGTTGCCTGCTAATTTTGTCTATTTTTCCCCCATCCCTTGTTTAGTTCCCCTATAATCCTCCTATAAGTGAAACCATCTGATATTTTTCTTTTTCCTTCCGACTTATTTCAGAGGATAATCCCCTTCAGCTCCAGCTACGTTGCTGCAAATGGCATGATATTTTTTCTTTTTTGATTGCTGAATAGTATTCCTACCAGCAGTGTAAGAGCTTTCCTTTTTCTCCGCATCCTTGCCAGCATTTGTTTTTACCAGTTTTTTTTTTTTTTAATACGTGCCATTCCTACTGGTATAAGGTAGTATCTCATTATGGTTTTGATTAGCATTTCCCTGATTACAAGTGATGTTGAGCATGTTTTCATATACCTGTTAGCCATTTGCATTTCTTCTTTGGAGAAGTGTCTTTATCTGGTCTGCCCATTTTTTGACTGGATTGTTTGCTTTTGTTTTTGTGAGTTGTGTAAGCTCTTTGTAGATCTGTGAAATTAGTCCCTTATCAGTTGTGTGGCATGTAAATATTTTCTCCCAATCAGTAGGGTGTCTCTTTGTTTCGGTTATTGTCTCTTTGCTGTTCAAAAGCTTTTTCTGTCCAAACTCTACACAGTTTGATGTAGTCTCAGCTATTTATATTTTCCATCACTTTCTTTGCGTCAGGGGATGAGTCTTTAAAGATGTTTCTGAGATGTATGTCATACAGTGTTTTGCCTGTGTTTTTTCTATATATTTGATGGTTTTAGGTCTTATGTTCAAGTCTTTATTTTGAGTTGATTTGTGCATAGTGTGAGATAGTAGTCTAGTTTCATTCTTTTACATAATGGTGATCCAGTTTTTCCAGCACCATTTATTGAATAGACTATCCTTGTCATAAATTAATTGTCCATATATGTTTGGCTTTAATTCTGGGTTTTCAATTTGATTCCATTGGTCTGTGTGTCTGTTTTTGTTCTAGCACCATACTGATTTAACTATTATGGCTTTGCAGTATAGTTTGGGCATGTGATGCCTCCATTATCCATTTTAGTCAGGAGTGTTTTGGTTATTTGAGTTTTTTTTTTGTGATTCCATGTAAATTTCACCAATATTTGTTCTATTTCTTTGAATAATTTGCCCTATTTCTTTGAAAATTTTATTGGAATTGCATTGAATCTGTAAATTGCTTTTGGCAGGATGGCCATTTTGATTATGTTAATTCTTCCAATTCATGAGCAAGGCATGTCTTTCCATTTCTTTCTGTAGTCTTCTATTTATTTTAACAATGTTTTATAATTTTCTTTATATAGGTTGTTCACTTCCTTTGTTAGGTTTATTCCCAGGTATTTAATTTTTTTTTTTTTTGGTACAATTGTAAATGGAATGGTTTCTTAAAATTTTTTCTTCTTCATATGGTTTACATATAGGAAGGCTACTTATTTTTTGTGTGTTGATTTTGTATCTTTCTACTTTACTAAACTGGTTTATTATTTTAATTAGCTTTTCTATAATGTTTTTAGGGTTGTCTATATACATTAGCATATTGTCTGCAAATAGTTGTGGTTTTACTTGCCTAGCTAGGACTTCATTATTATATTGAGAAGCAGTGGTGAGAATTGGCAACCTTGTCTTGTTCCCAATCTTAAAAGGAAGGCTTTCAGTTTTTCACCATTTAGAATGATATTAGCTGGGGCCTCCCCTGGTGGCACAGTGGTTGAGTGCTGGGCTGTGAAGCTGCCTGCAGCCTCTGCAGCACTGGTTTGATCCCTGGCAAGGGTCCCACATTGTGTGACAGACCTCTCCTACTGCACCCACTGCTCCCCTCAGCAGTGTATTTCATCAGTTTGCCTGTTCTGTTCCCCGCTCTGGCTCTGGTGAATTCTCTCACCCTCCTGCTCTTCTGACTATACCCAGTGCTTGCATAAATAAATAAATAAATCTTAAAAGAAAAATGAGATTAGCTGTGAGTGTGTCATATTTTTTTTTATTATGTTAAGTAATGTTCCTTCTATCCCAAGAATTTTGAGGGCCTTCATCATAAATGGATGTTGAACTTTAATCAGATGCTTTCCCAGCATCTATTGATATGATTATGTGGTTTTAACTTTCTTTTTGTTGATGTGGTAGATTACATTAATTGATTTTTGGATATTGAACCATCCTTGTGCCCCTGGAATAAATCCTACTTGGTCATGGTGTATTATCCTTTTGATGCATTGTTGGATTCTGTTTGCTAGGATTATATTGAGGAATTTTGCATCTGTGTTCATTAGGGAGATAGTACTATAGTTTTCTTTTTCTGTATATTTTCTTTGTTTGGTTTTGGTATTAGTGTAATGTTAGCGTCAGAAAATATATTTGGTAGTATTCCTTCTTTCTCAATTTTTTGGAAGACTTTTTGTAGGATAGGCTCCAGTTCATCTTTGAATATTTGGTAGAAGTCATTTGTGAAACTGGTCCTGGGCTTTTGTTATTGGAAGGGTTTTGATTACTCTTTCAATTTCATTGCTTGTAATTTTTTTTGGGGGGGGGGTTTTCTGTTTCTTTTTTGTCCAGCGTTGGATGCTTGTATAATTCCAAGAACTTGTCCATATCTTCTAGATTGTTGAATTTGTTTGCATATAAATTTTCATAGTAAATCTCTCCAGTTATCCTCTGAATTTATGCTGTGTCCATTGTAATTTCTCCTCTCTCATTTCTGATCCTGTTTATTTGAGTTTCTCCCTTTTTTTCTTTGTCCCATACATTCTGGAAAGTTGTATCCTCCTTGTCATTTGTCTCGGTGTATTTTTTAATTTCTTCTTTGATTTACTCATTAATCCAGCGGTCTTCCAATAGTTTGTTCTTCATTTTCTATGTAATGAGGGGGTTCCTTTCTTTTCATAGTTGATTTCTTGTTTGATGCCTTGTGGTCAGAGAAGATAGTTGGTATGATTTCAATTTTCATGTATTTGTTGATATTTGTTTTGTGGCCCAGTATGTTGTCTATTCTGGAGAATTATCCATGTGTTCTTGAGAAAAATGTGAATTCAGTTATTTTAGGATGCAATGTTATAGATGTGTGTTATGCCCATGTGGTCTAGATCTTTATTTAGGGCTATGTGTCTTTGTTTATTTTTACATCATTGATCAGTCTCTTGGTGAGAGTGGGGTGTTGAAGTCTCCTACTACATATGCATTTTCTCTAATGCATTATGTCTGTTTTCAGAGATGACAGTAATTATCTAACAAATTTTGGAACTCCTTTATTTGGTGAATATATGTTAATGAATGTTATGTCTTGGTGTATATCCCCTTGATAATTATGTAGTAACCATTTATGTCTCTGTCACCTTTTTTTAATTTGAAGTCTACCTTATTTTATATAAGTGTGTCTTCTTTTGGGGGCCATTTTCTTATAGAATTGTTCTGCCAATGGGCAGAACTCTGGTATTTTTTCATGAAGTATTTGATAAAGGAGAGTGATGTCAGCAACATGGCTAAATAAAATGTCCCTTGTGTTCCTTCCCCTGGCCCCACAACAATAACTTGGAATCTATCCTTAGCCGAAAGTACATTTGTAGGAGCTCTGTGACCCAGTACCATATGCCACGGGACCTAGGAGGTATCTCATCCCTACCTGTGTGTTGGGTAATAGGTCTTGTGCTTGGACTCTGGTTATGGTACAGCAGTACCTGGAAAGCACTCTTAGATAATCACCAATAGACAAGATAGTTTTTGGGAAGACAAGGTCTCTAGCAGAGAGTTTCCAGTACATCTTTCGAACAAAAAAATAAAGAAAAAGAAAAAGAAAGTGAGTTTGGAGAGCTTTAGTACCACCCTTGGGAAAGCAAAGGCAGACAGTCTGTTAGTATTCAGGCTGGGATGTTGTAGGATGCTTGGAAATCATACAAGCTTAAAAAGTTGGCCACAAGAGGAGCAAGAAGAGGGAAGCAGGTATATCCATAGAAAGTATGAAAATCTCAAGATTCCTGCAAGTGTAATTCATGTTGGAAGTCCTGATTTTGGACCTTATACTCCAGAAAGAAGATAGACTATGGTATATAGTTACCCACAGTGTTGATTTTTTTTATTCAGTTAATATTTATCCCCTTAAATGGGTAAGGCACTCTTCTAACACTGGAATCTAGCACCAAAAAAATCCTATTCTTGTGGAGTTTATATTCCAGTGAAGGATTCAGACAGTAAACCCTAAAAAGTAATAAATAAATAAGCAAATGTAATCATTTTCATTAGTGATGTTACAATAACCGAAAACAACAAATCAACAACAAGCACAAAACAGGGTAGCTGGATGAAGAGAATTTATAGCTTAGGTGAAAGTGGTAACATGAAAAAGGTTAGAAGTGATCCTGTTCAAGCTGTTTATAGGACAGAGAATCAGTAAAAATTGGATTAGATATTGAAAGGTAGTGAGGAGAAAGAATCCAGGTTAATTCCTGTTATGAGCTGAACATTTACTAATGATTCTTTAAACTGAAATAAGGAAAACAGAATTTATTTTAGAATATGTTCAATTGTAATTTACATATTAGGTCATGAATTGGAGTGAAGATGATGTTAGGTTATGAAAGATGAAATTTTAGTTAACATTTAAGTGGTTTTTTCCAGTTGATATACAGTAGCTTTCTGTTACTCTCTAATAGTTGCCAAGGGCGAAAATAAAGTCAAACTCCCT